CACACAGCACTCTCACACACAGAACTCTCACACACAGAACTCTTTCACACACAGCACTCTTTCACACAGCACTCTTTCACACAGCACTCTCTCACAGCACTCTCTCTCACACAGCACTCTCTCACACACAGCACTCTCACACACAGCACTCTCACACACAGCAGTCTCTCACAGCACTCACGCACTCTCACACACATAGCACTCTCACTCTCACTCAGCACTCTCACTCACGGCACTCTCACACACATCATACACAGCACTCTCACACTCATCAGACACACACACATCACACAGAGCACTCTCACACACCGCACTCTCACACACATCACACACCGCACCCCTCAGACACACATACTGCACCCCTCACATACACACAGAACCCCCTCAACACACTGCACCACACACATACACAATACTTCCAAATATATATTTATATATATATACACACACACTACACTCTTAACATACACACTCTGGATCCCCTATACACACACTAGATTCCTTGTAAGCAAACACATACTACACCCCTAAACATACACTACATCACCTATATACACACACACACACACACTATAGCCTGTATGCACACACTTGCTATATCCCCAATACACACATTCTCTACAGCCCCTAGCCACATATGCATCACATTACACCACAAACACAACATGACTAAAACCAACCTTATTACACAATACCGCACCACAATCAGCTCACTCTACACACACGCAATACCACAAGCAGGCTCCAAACACATGCACAATACTCTTTCCTGGCATTTTTGTTTCCTGGTATCTTTATAGAGACACCAGAGACAATTTGCAAGGAAACACAGTGCAAGCATGTTATTAAATTTGCTTGCACTGTGCAGAACAAATACAGGGCTTTTTTTATCATGCTAGAGCTCTTCAGCAGAGCTCTGCGCATGGTCTGCCCTGGAAGAGCATTGAACCAACATGCTCACTTTGAGAGGGGGCGTGTTTGTCATTGGTGATGACAAAACACACCTCCTCTGCCCCCGCCCCCTTCTTAGTGGGCCGCTGTGTTAAAAAAATGCCCGGGCCGAATTTTTCTCCCAGTCCGGCCCTGGCTTAGGGACACCTCTAGTGACCACTCCTCAGACGGCCACTAGAGGTGCTTCCTGCCTTCCTGCTGAACTTTCCCCATAGAGATGCATTGATTCAATGCATCTCTATGAGGAGATGCTGATTGCCCGGGACGTTGTTTGGCCCCACTCCACCTCCTTGACGATCTGCGCCAATTCAATGCTTTTCCTATGGAACACATAACTAAGATAGCAGAGTGCAAACGGAGCGCACAAGAAAACGCATGCGGACGCAAATACAGACATATACATAAGGCAGAACTGGAACCAGGAACCGACTTTGCATTCCACCGCTGAAATGCATGTGGACACAGATGAATTCTATCAGACAATCATTTCCTATTTATCCTCATCTGATTTAAAACTCATTTATCCCTGAAGAAGTCCAGGACTTGGACGAAACGTGTTGGGTTTATGATTACATCCTTATTTATTTTTGTATTTTATATTTTGGTTACTGTTTATATTTACTTCTATATTGATCCACATGCAGTGGAGATGGGCTACATTTTATCCTACTATTTGTAAGTGCATATTTCCATTATATTCTTTTGTACATATAATATTGCACTACTTGTGGTCTCTTTTTTTTGTACACCAGACCTATAATATATACTTCAAGATTAAAGATGTTCTGAATGTATCTTTAACCTCTGCATTACCCCTGCTTGGGTAGACAGGCCTGCATTCAAGTTTGATCTAGTGAGTACTTTTCTTCCCCCACCCTGCGTCTTTTGTTTTGTACATATTACACTATTGTGTTCAATTATTTTCCAGATATTATTTTATATACCTTTGTAGATTGTATGTATATTCCTGTATACACTTGTGTGTTTGTTTTTTTTACTTATAGCATTTCTCCTTTTTGTTATACTTTATTGTATATTTTTATGGGTTTATATTCTGCCTGGGAAGATGGTTGTAGGTACAGGAGGCCATGGGAAGAAGATTGCATTCAGAGAGACCCATGCATTCCAGAAGGAGGACTATATAGGCATAGGGACTCGTAGCTGCCTTTAAGGAGATTTTAGCAGAAAGACCTGCACACTGAGACTAGCCTAGTGAGACATAATCACTGGCTTGACTCCGGTCTCAGCGATGATCCATCTTTGGGGTGGCAGGTTTACACCTCCGGTGGTACGTCCTGGGAAATGGTAGACCCAGATTAAGATGTGCCATGACAGCCCCATTACTGGGAAAAGGTGCTCCAAACATTATAAACGCTACAGTAGGCTATGTTGGTTATGATGTTTGGATAAACCAATTTAACTCATGGCAGTATTTGTCAACTACCACTTATGGTGATGAAATATCACACAATGCAAACATCCATCCATGTTTTCAGATGTTATGCTGACAGGTTGTAACAGTCTTGAGTTAAATATATTTTAAATATTGGGGATAGTAATACTGAAAGATTACAGCCCCATCAAAAAGCCACAATGCAAAGTCATAATTTGCTCAGCAACTCCAGGGTGGGTGGGGATCAACCATCTCTTTTCATCCAGTAAAAACAAACATCTCCTGTAGGACATGCTAGCATGGAATGTTCTGTGGACCATAAGTAGTAATCCAAAGGATGCTCTGTGCTTGGTGCAAATGCTCGTGGTTAGATAGCCATGTCGGATACACTTGTCTTGGACTTTGTGGAGTTTGCTAGCTCTATCACCAAAAAGCCAACCTTTTACCATGTTACTGCAAAGCAGATGTTTGAGACTCAACAAATGCATGCACAATATGCACCCTTGGTCAAATATAATAAAGCCACATAATACAACCAATTTAAAATGCATACTATATAAATATATAGATATATTAATTACATTTATTTATATTATAATTACATTTTAACAATTATTTTAATAATACATGTATGCCTTATTTTTCAGAACATCCATACAACCCATTGGAAGTTCATGCTACCTAGACTAAGTAAACCTTGCAGAATTGAGCCAATCTTAGATTTCTAGAGAGCACAACCTGCTGTTTATTCATGGTACTGCAGCAAAGCCACCCTATAGTTAATAAGCCCATACTCCTTAACCCCCTCCTCTCCACCCACCCCCTCTCCCCCTCAGGGCTGACATCAAGTGCAGGGGCTTGCTTGGTTGGGGAAATATTCCACCAAACTCAACACGTTGATAGGCTGTACAGGATCATGCCACTGATTGGGAGAACTTGGCCCTTGCACAGCAGTGCTAAACCTAGAATTATGTTATCACAGATCATTTTCTTCTGACATGCTTAGAGCTGCGTAGGGAAGGAGAAGGAAGACAGCCATCAACAGTAGCCCCAGCCTGCTCACACTGGACCCCAGGAAAGCCAACATTAGTGATGTCCCGAACGGTTCGCCACGGACGGCGAACACAAACATAAATTTTGACCCTGTACCTCACAGTCAGCAGACACATTCCAGCCAATCAGCAGCAGACCCTCCCTCCCACCTCCTGGACAGCATCCATTTTACATTCATTGTGAAGCTGCATTCTTAGTGAGCTGTCCAGGAGGTGGGAGGGTCTGCTTTTGATTGCCTGGAATGTGTCTGCTGACTGTGAGGTACAGGGTCAAAGTTTATGTTTATGTTCGCCGTCTGCGGCGAACCGTTCGGGACATCACTAGCCAACATTTATTTTATCCAAAAGCTATGGTAACAGGCCTGTGGCTACAAATATGCTACAACTATTGTATTCTATAGGTGGCAGTGTGTATGTGTGTGTATTTATGTATGGCAGTGTGCATATGTGGTGCAGTGAATGTCTGAGAATGAGTGTGCCTAGCAGTGTATGTCTGTGTATTTTTGTGTCTGTCTGATAGTATGTATTTGTGTTCTAGCATGTGTGTCTACTATTGCATGTCTGTATTTATTTGGAGATGTATATGTGTAGCTACACATTTCACCCCGCTCCCTTTTAGAATGTAAACTTGTTTAAAAGCAGGGCCCTCTGCACCGTCTGTTCCAATATGTCCAGCTAGTTCTTTTTTTAGTCCACCTATTGTACAGCGCTGCAGAATATGTGTAGAAGGCTCTGAATAGATATGTATGTGCCTGAATGTGGGGGTGTGGTGTGTGTGTGTGTTTTAATTTTATAATTTTTTTTTCTAAAACAAAACATTATATCCTACCATAACCCTGCCCTTCCTCTTCTATTCTCCCATGTATCCTGCCTCAACATATTCCCCAATCACATATGCCAGGAATTCTGTAAATGATTTGGGTATTTTCTATTGATTCTGGAAAATACCACACACTTCCTGCACAGTTTTACCAACTGTTTGCACTTACTGGGAGAATATAGAGTCCTGGGTGCACACTGATCTGGATAGAAATAACAAGAATTAATTCTGTTGTAAAATATTTATTTATAGACATACTAAGACTGTGTCACATATAATAGGTTTAATACAAATATAAGAACAGAGAGTTAACATATTGGAAATATTTCTATACAACAGTGCCGGAACACAAAATAAATTAACCTAGCAGGGTATTTCGTAGTGCAATACAGTTCTTGGCATTAGCCTACATTTCATAGAAAAGTGTTTAAACGCACGTGATATGTAAATTTGCATTCATTTCACGTTCAATAGTGAGGTTAGCACTTTATATATTATAATAATAATACAATATTTAACAATGTAACTTCTGACATCTACCTTGATCTACAGGGAATTTCTAATTGCTACTTAGTAACCTTGAGGCAGTAGGGTTATGTAAACTATGAATGAGAAACAGAGTGTAGTGTAAACTTCTTAGAAACTATTGAGCAGCAAGGGTTCCTATAGTTGTAAGTTAATTTGGAAATCATTTTCTATTGGAAGATGAAGGCATAGGTCAATGCATTGTTACAAGAAGCCTGAAAATAGCAGAAATATGCAGAAAAAACCCATAGAATGTTTTAAAATCAGGAGTAAGCAACATTCATCATTCCAGATGTTGTGGACTACATCTCCCATATTGCTCGTACATCCATAATGCTGGCAAAGCATCAGGGGAGATGTTGTCCACAACATCTGGAGTGCCGAAGGTTGCCTACTGTTGCGTCTATCTGATGAATTCTTGCACCACTGATGCCTGGAGTGTCTGTTAATGTAAAGCTTCAAAATTCCTTAGAGAACTGTGGGGAGATGTATCAAACTGTCACCATGGAAACCAGTGAAGTCACCAGGCACATTGCATTGGTGACTCCTCCATTTTTATATTTGTTCAAAACTTTGTGCAAAAATATTTCCTCTTTCTATTTGAATATGAATATTCTTCTTAAATATCCATTTGATGTGCTATGGAATCCAGTAACCAATACCATACCTTGGACAAGAGACACAAACCATGTTAAATGAAGATGTAGATAAACTAATATAATATAGTTGTTTCAATGAGATATTAAATATACAAAATGTTCTTGCGATCATGTGACTTGTTCATGTTCAGTACCTATTGACGGCAGCTGTTTGTTTTCAATGGCAGTATATCCGATCTAATGTTCACAAAACAAAAGTATACTATATTCATTATTTCATCAGCAATATAGCCACCAACAGTCACACTCCAAGAACCAGTAAATTTATGAATAACCTTCATTTAAACAACTCTTTTCCACATCCTTAATAACTAGTCTTTACTGGCCTGTATAACATGGTTCTGTGAGAATGGACACAATTCTCAATTAAATGTCAGGGCTGGAATACAATTCTATGTGAAATATTTCCTGTTCACATGGGACCATTTCAAAGCATTGATGTCAGTCATTTTTAGATCTTACTGTGACTAAATAAAATGCCAGAGACCGACACAATACAACTCTGAGATACAGGCTCTTTAGTATTCCTGCTCAGCACATGTAGAGAATTATGGGATATGTAGTTCATTAACAGCTGAAGAAAGACAAATAGCTTATTTCTGATATCAACAGACTCACAAAAATAACCATACTATATGTGTTAATGTGACATTATAAAAAAACTCAAATAAAGAAATCTAAATCCCCCTCAGACCACCAGGATATTTACTTGTCTTGGAAACTCAAAGAGTAAGGAGGTTTGATCCATTAATATTTGTTTAGTTTACTTTTTTGTTAACGTTTATACACTTATCATTTTTAAACATTGACAGGGTATTTCAATAAAGTTTGGAAATCACAATTTTGTGTCAAAACAGTAGAACTGGGGGGGGGGGAAGCTATGATTTTAGTATGGCTATTTGGCGTACAATTTTACATTCACTTTGAATTCTTGACAATTTTACATTTTAGTGAATAACCTTGTCAGTATTTGGAATCAGATTGCTAGATTGCTATCGATTTGGTTATATAGACCAGTGCTCCTTAACCCTCTCCTCAAGGCACATCTAACAGTCCAGGATTTATGGTTTACCAGCATGTGTCTAAGGTGTTTAGAAAAAGAAGAAAAAAACACCTTAGAGTCTAAGGTGTTTTTAGTTTTTTTAAAAACACCTTAGACCAGTGATGGCTAACCTTGACACCATAAATTGTTTATGGACTACATTTCCTATGATGCTCAGCTAGCTTTTAGAGTCTAAAAGCTAGCTGAACATCATGGGAAGTGTAGTCCAGAAACAATTTATGGTGTCAAGGTTAGCCATCATTGACTTAGACACACGCTGGTAATCCCTAAATCCTGGACTGTTAGATGTGCCCTGAGGAGAGGGTTGAGGAAAACTGATTTAGACCACTGGACCCTGAAGTCTGCTTATGTAATCATCAATAGTAATGCGCTTATGTCCTTGTGGACAATCTTTCCCAATGTTAGTATGCCCAGTACTGTTTTATAACTTATTTATAACAGATCTTAATGCATACAGCCCTTGGATTATTAGGTTTTTACCCAAATTGCCACATATAGTGAATTTTGTTTTTCCTAGTACATTGTTTTGTTTTGTATTATTATGTATTCTGCTAGACTATATTACTATGTTTTTTTTTTTCATGCAATAAACTAAAACAATAAAACATTTATTTACTTACATTCTGCCTCTGAAATAAATATTTGCAATAGACAGCACTTCATCTGAAATATAGTATTACAGTTTGTAAATGGTTCCATTACAGCCATGTGTTAAATGATCTGCAGAGACACACAACTTCTCAGGTCATTGTAATAGTATCTGACATATTTCAATGTTATTTTTGTGTTGCAAAAGCTAAGAGATATATATTTATAAATATCAGTATGTATAATAGATTCAACCTAATCTAATACATTATTATATTCAAAGTGGAAAATGTTTCACCTAGTATTTGCTACATAACGATTCATGCTGCCTATCTACAGTGCTACGAATAACATGACCACTGTGTGCTTAGAGCAGGGGTGCCCAAAATGTAAATCCCCAGATGTAGAACTACAACTCCCATGATGCTTTGCGTGCCTTTAGAATGACAAAACATTATGGAAACTAAAGTCGTAAAACATTTGGGGATCTACCTTCTGGTCAGCCCTGGCGTAAAAGATTGAAGATAATATAATCCATAATTGTCACTATAACTAACATAAATCTTACTTTATCAAGTAATTTGTTTCAAGTAAACACATGAATCAGGATTCTATTTGGTTAATTGCTTTCGGCTATGCTATCACATTACAATATAAAATCTAATTACAAAGTGCCAACATACTTTGCAGTGCTGTATGCTATACTAAACCTATTAAATTAATAGCAATACCAAATTTAGTAAGAGAGCAGTTGTTATGTATTTGCCCAAATGCAAATTAAAAAAAACAAGCAATATGCTACTCGTTTTAAATTCATTGGCATTAATTTTTTTTTGCTTAAAAAATGTAAAATGCCAATAAACTTACCATTATTACAGTGGTGGTGCTGGGACTGACTCCTCACTACAACTGAATCCTCCTACCAGTAACTTTTTTAATCTGATGCTTCTCGTTTAGAAGCATTGATGACACTTGGTGCATGGCAGTGACGGTTACTGCAATCACGCTTTCAGATCTCAATGAGAACTATTGAACCTAATGCTTCTCATACCAAGGCACTTTACATGCTGGCAATGAACAACAAAATAATTTCAAATTTAAATATTCTCCTAACTAGAGCCCCTAGTGACTGTCTGGCTGACACCTATTAGAAGGAAAAAAAAAAGAACAAAGAAGCTGCAACACCAAAATAAGTTGAAAGAGATATGTTCCACCTGTGTGGAACCGGCAACATTTCGACCCAACCTCAGGGTCTTTGTCAAGCCTATCAGTTGGCATTGTCACTGAAAGATGTAAATAGGCCATTTCTCAGAAACCAGAGGGTTTTCATTAGCAGGGCTGCACAGGCAGCAACTAGGAGGACACGTAGGTGTGAAACCTGTGAGTGCCAATTATGCCAACAAATAGTCAGTAAAAATTCACAAGATAAATTGATGATGTCTTGTATTTTGCATATATATATATATATATATATCTTATTTTGATTTATTAATGCCTTTTTTTTAGTTAAAAAAAAATGCTGGTCGGAAATAATTAAACATAAATAAAAGGATTAAGAAAAATGCCTTTTCACTGCATTATAATATATTTTCCATGATCTCATTTGCACAATGGGTTTTGTGACATCCTAATAAACTGTGTCCAGGGTCACCATGCCATATACATTCTGGACTAAAAATAAATAGCTTAAAAGTGGAAAAATCACCAAAAACAAAACAATGGGAAGATTACACATTAAAATCCTACGCACTCAAAACATGTCACTTGCAAAGAGAAATAAAGATGTCTAGTCTTATTACTCATCATCATGATGATCTACAGGTAAAATCCTCTTCAAATCAATAGTGTGAGTTCTGTAGTGTTTTTATTCTAACATTCAGTGGTATTTGGGGGTAATACATGTGCTATAAAACTAGGATTTCAATAATTAACATATAATCAAACAGGTAGCAATATATATATATATATATACACACACACACACACACACACACACACACACACACACACACACACACACACACACACACATATATATATATACACTTGGATTCAAATATTGTTGAATGGGTAAGGCAGTGGCTGAGTGACAGGCAACAGAGGGTTGTAGTTAATGGAATATATTCGAAGCGTGGACTTGTCACCAGTGGGGTACCTCAGGGATCTGTACTTGGACCCATTCTCTTTAATATTTTTATTAGTGATATTGCAGAAGGTCTTGATGGTAAGGTATGTCTTTTTGCTGATGATACTAAGATATGTAACAGGGTTGATGTTCCAGGAGGGATAAGCCAAATGACAAATGATTTAGGTAAACTAGAAAAATGGCCAGAATTGTGGCAACTGACATTTAATGTGGATAAGTGCAAGATAATGCATCTTGGATGTAAAAACCCAAGGGCAGAGTACAGAATATTTGATAGAGTCCTAACCTCAACATATAAGGAAAGGGATTTAGGGGTGATTATTTTGATGACTTAAAGGTGACAATAAAAGAGCAGCAGGAAATGCTAGCAGAATGCTAGGTTGTATAGGGAGAGGTATTAGCAGTAGAAAGTGGGAAGTGCTCATGCCATTGTACAGAACACTGGTGAGACCTCACTTGGAGTATTGTACACAGTACTGGAGACCGTATCTTCAGAAGGATATTGATACCTTAGAGAGGGTTCAGAGAAGGGCTACTAACTGGTTCATGGATTGCGGGATAAAACTTACCACGAAAGGTTAAAGGATCTTAACATGTATAGCTTGGAGGAAAGACGAGACAGGGGGGATATGATAGAAACATTTAAATATATAAAGGGAATCAACACAGTAAAGGAGGAGACTATATTTAAAAAGAAGAAAAACTACCACAACAAGAGGACATAGTCTTAAATTAGAGGGACAAAGGTTTAAAAATAATATCAGGAAGTATTACTTTACTGAGAGGGTGGTGGATGCATGGAATAGCCTTCCAGCTGAAGTGGTAGAGGTTAACACAGTAAAAGAGTTTAAGCATGCGTGGGATAGGCATAAGGCTATCCTAACTATAAGATAAGACTAGGGACTAATGAAAGTATTTAGAAAATTGGGCAGACTAGATGGGCCGAATAGTTCTTATCTGCCGTCACATTCTATGTTTCTATGTTACACACACACACACACATATATATATATATATATATATATATACACACACACACACATATATATATATATATATATATATACACACACACACACACATATATATATATATATATATATACACACACACACACACACATATATATTTATATAAAACAAAGAAACATGCTAGGTTCTGTCTGAAATCCTGTTGGCCTTTAAAAACAAACACTCCTCATCCCTGCCCTGTATACTTACTGCAATAATAAATAAAACAAATATTCTAGTCATGTTTGGAATTTAAAGCTTTGTCCATATATAAGTTGAACTAAAAATATGTCTATCATCATTGTAAAGTTTGTTGTCACTGTAATGAATGGAGTAGCAATAATCAAATACTTAGGGGGATGAGCTAGTTGTGTTTATATAAGGCTGCAGAAGCAGCTTCATTCTATTACAACACGTTTGTATTATGATGTTGTCCTTGATTGCTGTTTTTACTGTATGTTTTTAGGTCATGAACGAACACATATCGCTGTCTATGGAGCTCACCACTTTACAATTATTGTTATTGCAAACTACAGCCCCCTGTAGTTTGCTTTCAGTATCTTAGATAAAAGGTGTCTGGAACGGCTATGATGTTTTATACCGTTCGATGTCTTGACAAGCATTATATACATCCATCTGGTATTGAAAGAGAAAGGCAAGTAAAGTTTGCTGAAGTGGTTATGGTGCAAGTGGTTCCCTGAAACCCCACCATTCTAAGTAGGCCTCCACTATTAATGCCAGAGAGTCAGGTGCTCCTAAACATAAATGATCACCTGACACTCTCAGCCAATGAGTTAAAACATGTATTACAGGGCTCAGCTTCGTAGATCTAACTGATGTTCCTGCTCAATAGCTTTCAGCTGTCTGGCACTAGTAGTGCCCAGCGGACCCCAGGTCAGATGTCCAATCATTCAAAGCGGTTTGACAGCTTACAATGGGGAGGGAGCTGTGCCAGGGCACACCATAAGCACTACAGTGAGTTGTAATGGTTATAGTGGTTGGAGTGGGTCATTTAAGTTCCAGTTTAGCTTGCTTATAATTTCATTAGACTAGGTTCTGTAAAATATGTTTTCATTTTGGTACTGGCTGCAAGTAGCAGATACTCTTGTTAAAAAGCCAGGAGTACGACTTTACTTCTGCTTAATATATGTTTTCCCCATTTTCAAATAAAGTACAGAGAGAAAGTCCTGTGTGCAGAGGGATTTTACCCTTTCTTCCTCTACATGAAGGAGTTCATAACAGTTGACACTAAATAGTGTGTTGACATCTAAACATGCAAAATTTAGTATATTAGTTACAGAAAATCTCTAAATCACTAGCTGGAGTATTTTTACAACAAAGATATTTGAAAATACATTTGCATGTCAGTTGTCAATTCACATCAAACTCAAATACGTGTCCATTTAGTATCACAATAGTTATTGTATGCTTGGTAGTGGTATGTGAATAAAATAACAATACACACAAAGTTCCCTATAAAACAATCAGTTTCACTTTTTAACTCCCACTGAAAAAACAGTGGAAATTACAGGGGGAACCACGTGATCTGCTCTACTGCTTTCATACAATTACTTTTACTACAATTAGATGGAGTCATTAAAACATGAGAAAAAACCTGTACTTTCTGAAGGTTTATAAACTAAAATATTATTTGAGATGAGCCTACAACTGACTTACTCTAGGGCAAAGTATATATAGATAACATAAAAAATGTACATAAAACCGATAAGTTAAAATACTAAAACTACTCACAGTTGGCTTTGAATCTTCTGCAATAAGTTCTTATCAAACTAGGAAGTTAATCATGATAGCCATTTAAAGGGACTCTCCAGTGCCAGGAAAGCAATCAGTTTTCCTGGCACTGCAGGTTCCCTCTCCCTCCCACCTTCCAATCCCCGGTTGCTGAAGGGGTGAAAACCCCTTCAGTCACTTACCTGAGACCCCCGCCAATGTCCCTCGGCGGTCATTTCTGCTTGCCGCCGCTCCTCCTCTACATGTCTCGGTGGGTGAGACTGATCCTGCCCGCCGGCCGTGGAGACCTAATGCGCATGCGCGGCAATGAGCATTAGAGCTCTCCATTGGAAAGCATTGAAAATGCTTTTCAATGCTTTCCTATGGGGAATTGAGCGACGCTGGAGTTCTTCACACAGCGTGAGGACGTCCAGCGACGCTCTAGCACAGGTTTTCTGTGCTATGGACCAGGAAGTGCCCTCTAGTGGCTGTCGAGGTGGAGTTAACCCTGCAAGGTAATTATTGCAGTTCATAAAAAAACTGCAATAATTACACTTGCAAGGTTAAGGGTAGTGAGAGTTGGCAATTGGAGTGGTCTGGGTGCCTGGGGTGTCCCTTTAACTTTATATATCAGTGCTGATCTTATGCCATAAACCTCTGAACAGCAGTGTTCTATGGGTACAGCACGTCTCATGGATTGGTAGTTCAGCTGTCAGATATCTATTGTATAGATCACTATGTTAGCATCTGCCATCACCTGCAGCTGCCACTCACCTAGATGGTGACATTGTGAATAGCTGCAATACTGGATCATAAAAAGAAACACTACTGGTTTGGAGGAAGAAGCAGAGCAGGTGGGCTCATGAAGCAAAACTAAATGTTATTTAGAACTAAATATTATTAAAAAAAACAAACAAAAAAAACTCACACTGAATTACGTACTTAAAATGTGGTTGAACGCTGAAGTAGGGTTTGCAGGTAACCGCAGGACTAAGGCATTAACCAGTGCAATGATAACCTTAAAGCTTCTGCCAAGTACCCTCATCCTATCCATGACACCCACTGCTAGTATAAGGTTTTGAGGCTAATGCAGAGTAGCCTCCACATTACCCTAAAGCAAGAGGCAGAGCCATGGACACCTGGGACACTAAAGACCTATTGAAAACAGCAGGGAATACAAGGCACCTTAACCACTTTAATAATATAAAGTGGTTGTGGTTCCTAGAGTGTTCCTTTTATTCACAAAATATCTCAGATAGATAAATGTACACTTTTTTAGTAAACAAATGTTATTGTACTTATCTGAATACTATGTGTGATTCAGACTAATTTTCTGTGAAGTGTGAAGATGGCTTCACAATGGGATATAATAAGAGAGTTTTTGCCCATAGTACCTGCACATTAACTAGGTCCTGATCTAGGATAAGACACATGCAATCATGGTCTCATGCTGCACACGTCTAAAACATAGAAATACCTGCCCTTTTGAACCCTGTGAATTTATAAATATCTTTACATCCTTCCTTTGAATAGTGCCGGGGAATGTGCTTTTTAGTTGGGATCTAGGTGCCTCTAAGGGACCTATGCTTAGGTCAATACCAGTATTAGATTATGGATAGATATGTACTGTATGACTGCAGTATTTAAAAAGCTGCAAACTGGTTTATGATGTAGACATGCTTCATCAGTTGTCCTGTTTGATCATGGGTTCATTGAGATCTGTATCACAAAAGCAGGTGCCACTGGATCATGCCCAGACCTGTGAATATAACAAAAATATATCTGGTTAGAATTAATTCTGGCACTTCAAATAAAATTGTTCTTATGTTAAAGTTGTGACAAGTTACCAGGCCTCTGATTAATGCACCTCCTACACCCAGCAAGAACTTTAAGCACTTCATACAGAATAATATGCCACATCTACATTCATTAGAGGCACTTCTTGACATCTCATTGTCACATCATGCCATGTTCTGCGGAGATGTCTGGCTTTGGTTTCTGGTATCCAGTACTCTTTTTACAATTCTTGTTTAGCTTTTCTTGTTTTTTTGGTTTTCTATTCTATGTCTGGTTTTCTTTATGCTGGGTTTTTCTGGGTTCATTCCATTATTCCGTCCCTGGAATTCCCAGTGTCCAGCTTTCATTTATATGTTTGTTTTATGTTGCCACACCCATTTGTTTCAGTCTGGACCTGCAGCAGTGATTCAAGTCTCTGCCCTTTCTTGCAAGTGCTGTTGTGGTTTAGTATGGTTCTTTTAGCGAACATTAGGCAGTGTAGGACCTGCCGAATATGGGGTACATTGGCGTTGTGGCAGGCTTATGCAATGTATGATCATATAATGTGACTAAATCCCCATGATTTTCATATATAGTACTTAGTTATGTCTCCTCTTGTTTTGCCTATTATATCTTGTCTTGTTTTAGTTTGTATTCCCAGTCCATGTACAGTCCTGTCCTGCCCATGTTTAGTTAATGTTCCCTTATGTATTGTGTACATATTCTGGGTTTAACTTTATATATGGTTAAACATTGTGACATTTTTATTAGAAATTGTATAATTGTATGTCTGGAGTGATTTGTTTTGGCAATAATATAACTGACTATAAGAGTCATGTTTATCATAATATATTTACCTTCCTGACCCCCCCCCCCCTTCCTTTTTTTCTGTCTTGTTTTTTATTTTGTTATTCAAGTTGTAATAAAAAAAAAGTCAGTTTTTCATTACTTTATTATAGTAATATTTTACAATTGCAATTTGTTAAAAACATTTAAAACTTAAATAAAAATACTTGGAAAAAAATATCTACAGTGAGGAAAAAAAGTATTTGATCCCCTTTTGATTTTGAACATTTGTCCACTGACAAAGAAATGATCAGTCTATAATTTTAATGGTAGGTGTACTTTAACAGTAAGAGACAGAATAGCAAACAAAAATCCATAAAAACTCATGTCAAAAAAGTTATAAATTGATTTGAATGTCAATGAGTGAAATAAGTATTTGATCCCCTATCAATCAGCAATATTTCTGGCTCCCAGGTGTCTTTATACAGTTACAAGATGAGATTAGGAGCACTCTCTTAAAGGGAGTGCTCCTAATCTCAGCTCGTTCCCTGTATAAAAGCCACCTGTCCACAGAAGCAGTAAATCAGATTCCAAACTCTCCACCATGGCCAAGACCAAAGAGCTGTCCAAGGATGTCAGGGACCTACACAAGGCTGGAATGGGCTACAAGACCACCACCAAGTAGCTTGGTGAGAAGGTGACAAAAGTTGGTGCGATTATTCACAAATAAAAGAAACACAAAATAACTGTCCGTCTACCTCGGTCTGGTACTCCATGCAAGATCTCATATCGTGGAGTTTCAATGATCATGAGAATGGTGAGGAATCAGCCCAGAACTACATTGTTGATGATCTCAAGGCAGCTGGTATTATAGTCACCAAGAAAACAATTGGCAACACACTATGCTGTGAAGGACTGAAATCCTGCAGCGCCCGCATGGTCCCCCTGCTCAAGAAAGCACATGTACAGGCCCGTCTGAAGTTTTCCAATGAACATCTGAATGATTCAGAGGAGAACTGGGTGAAAGTGTTGTGATCAGATGAGACCAAAATCGAGCTCTTTGGCATCAACTCAACTCACCATGTTTGGAGGAGGAGGAATGCTGCCTATAACCCTAAGAACACCATCTCCACCATCAAGCATAGAGGAGGAAACATCATGCTTTGTGGTTTTTTTCTGCTAAGGGGACAGGACAACTGCACCATATCAAAGGGACGATAGACGGGGCCATGTACCATCATATCTTGGGTGAGAACCTCCTTCCCTTAGCCAAGACATTGAAAATGGATCATGGATGGGTATTCCAGCATGACAATGACCCAAAACACACAGCCAAGGCAACAAAGGAGTGGCTCAAGAAGAAGCACATTAAGGTCCTGTAGTGGCCTAGCCAGTCTTCAGACCTTAATCCAATAGAAAATCTGTGGAGGGAGCTGAAGGTTCGAGTTGCCAAACTCAGCCTTGAAATCTTAATGACTTGTAGAGGATCTGCAAAGAGGAGTGGGACAAAATCCCTCCTGAGATGTGTGCAAACCTGGTGGCCAACTACAAGAAACGTCTGACCTCTGTGATTGGCAACAAGGGTTTTGAAATACACCTACCATTAAAATTATAGACTGATAATTTCTTTGTCAGTGGACAAACGTTCAAAATCAGCAGGGGATCAAATACTTTTTCCCCTCACTGTATATCGTCTCATTCGGTTTTTTTGTTTGTTTGTTTTTTTCTCTCTCTCCCTTCCCTTCCCTTCCCTTCCCCCCCCCACATTTGGTATGCAATAGGTTTAATATATACATTTCAGATGTTTATTACACAACAGCTGCAGATTGTTTTCCTTTAATCCTCTTAAGAATCAGTGTTCTTTGTGCCCTGCTCCTAAACATGACATTTAAGCTCTTATTATAATATGGATCCATCAGCCACGTTATACAGAGTGCATTAACCTAAAATATGCTTCATAGGCCAAGCATGAGCAGGGCCGGACTGGGGCTACAAAGCAGCACTGGAAAAAAAATCTATGCCAGCCCCGCGCACGGCGTGGGTAAAAAAAAAAAAAAGGTGAGTAAAAACACACACACACACACCTTGACAGACACACATATCATGACAGACACACATACACACACCTTGCCAGACACACACCATGACACAGACACATACACCTTAACACAGACAGACAGACACACACACACACCATCACACAGACAGACATAATATAGCTACCTGTGTGCGACCGGACAGGAGTCTTACAGGTCAGATAGCTGGGTCAAGTGTGCTGGTGGCCGCAGGGCAAGCTGGCTCCTGGCTGTTCCGGCGGCCGCAGGGAGGAGCTGGCTGTTCCGGCGGCTGCAGGGGGGAGCTGGCTGTTCCTGCGCACTGCTCCCCAGCGCACAGCTTAATGAGACCGGATTTATTCCGGCCCCGGTCTCATTAAGTAGCGCGCGCAGGCGGGGAGCAGAGCCAGCACAGCCAGCTCCCCCCTGCGGCCGCCGGGATCAGCCAGCTCCCCCCTGCGGCAGCCGGGAACAGCCAGCTCCCCCAGCTCTCTGACGGCCCCAGGTGCCGACGGCCCACCGGGAAATTTCCCGGTATCCCGGTGGGCCAGTACGGCCCTGAGCATGAGATCTCCCATGTCCATATTTTAATGACACCATGAAAAGGCATCATTGGCAAAGATTTGTGCAGGACTAAATCCAGACTGGGTTAAAAGCACTTTGATAAGCACTTTGATAAGTACAAATGACATGTAATAGACACCCACGCTAATTTGTCTATATTTGTACTTAGCATTATACAAGTTATAAAGTGCATTTCAAGTCTAAACAAGCATGTTGTTGAGATTTTTACCTTCAGTATCAACTCAAATCTTACAGCTTTTAAATATTTAATTGGGAAAGAACTGTATAATGTCTGGGAGATGATTAATGTAGAGGCAGACACATGAATAACTTGGCAGTACCAAGGTGCATTAATGGTGGCCGAAGCAATTTTATTTGCCTGCAGGGTCCCTTTAAAAAATGAAATCCTCCAAAGTCTCAAAAATATTGAACAAAACAATAGCTGGTAATTTTAATGTTCATTGCTTAGAAAACAATTAAAAAAAATGGAATGTGTGGCTCACAGGATGATAGAATTAAAAAGAAACTGAATGGTGTACTTACTCTTAGTGTGTGATCCCATGAGCCGGAGCAGAACGCTGTCCCATCAGGAGATACACGTAGTGTACTGACTCTGTTTTCATGGCCAAACAAGATAGACACTCTGGTCCCCTTAAGGACATCCCAGACATTAATTGTATAGTCATTATATCCAGCAAAGAGTAACCGACCTAAAGTAAACAGACATACTATGTTAGATGTTGAACTAAGAATATCCAGATAAGCATAATGCATAAAAAATTAATATAAAATATGTACAATATAAATACATTAAAAATAAATATATACATTCATTTACATATAGAAGAGCCAGATATAAAAAATGAGGTTCTTTCTTCACATGTTACACCACACACCTGTATCTAAAGAAATTGCAATAACTAGGGATACAATATTTATTATACCATTCGAGTGCCAGGAAGATTGTTGTGCACAATCCAGGCATGTAAAAGGTTAGACCTGAAAATTGTTGCACTACAATACTGCTAAATATCTCTGCTATCAAAAAAAGGATTGGTGCAAACAGATTATAGAGTAAAATGATTGATCATAGCTTGTAGCTAGCTGTAATATTACCAATCCTGACATACAGATTGCCCGTAAATACACTTATCAGAACTTTGATTTCTTATCAGAAATAAAAAAAAATAATCCCCAATATGAATGACGTAAGAATCTGGAAACAACACGTATGAGTCACTGAGAACAATACATACCAAGCGATTGGTAAACCTTGGCATCAAACAACATTGTGTAATGTTCACATAATATGTACACCATGGTTCACAGACCTACACAAACATCTTTCTGCATGTATAAATACAGTGAATATCGGATAAATTAAAGGATTTGCATTGCCTCAATTGTCACCTTAAAGTATTTTCATTTTTAACAATGATTATTTTAAGAACAGTGTCAACCTGCAGCTACATGTTACGGGACATACCTTACCATGTCACATTTTGTTTACTGTAACATATTATAAAGTTAAATGAACACTCCAAGCTCTATATCCCCTACAGCACACTATGGCGCTCCTCCATTGTATGTAGTCAAACTCTTGTACATGTGCAAGGTCTACAGAGGACCCCACAAGACCCTCCACAGTCAATGCCTTTTAATGACAAAACTTGGTGGGGGCAGCTCTGCCTCCTTTTCAAGTTTTGTCAGGTGTATGGAATATACACAAGACAAAGAAGTCCCTATTATGTCTCGTGATATCCTATAACTGCGTTGGAATTTCAGCAAAATTCCAACACAGTCAATGTGAGTGTTTTTATAAAGATTCTGTCTTGATCAAATGCTAATTTTTTTGGAGGGGGAGGGAGGTTTGGAGAGTGCAAAGCCACTTTAATACATTACATAACACAATTACCATGTACATGTTGCATGTGAGCTCTCATCAATGCAAAACAGGACACAAAACAAATACACCATGATAAATATTATAATATGTAACCAAGGTCCTAGTATTTCTTTCATTTCTATTTAATGAACAATTAACTTTAACTATAAAAAGGGGAAGTACAAGCGCTTCTGTATAAAATTTAAGATTGGAATTATATCGAACAAATTTGATGTGAGCTGCTATATCACCGTGCTTATCTTTCTATAAGAAAATCGTGGAAAAGTGAGAAGTATCGGTGTAGCGCTCTATACTAGTGGATGTGAAAAGAAAACGAATAAAGGAAAACCTTGCTGTACCTTGATGAATAATATATACTAATGGATAATCCAGAGTAGTCAGATATACCTTAAATACAAAACACAAATATACAGAACATAGTGTAACCTGTATACAAAATGTAAATAAAAATAAAGTGCATAAGTAACTCACTCACACTTTTCTGAGCTAATGTACTAGCTCAGGTATATGCGCCTTAGGGTCCGTAGAGGCGACCCTTCCCCTCCTTTTCGTCCAAATAGTCTCCAGGTATATAGTCAAACCCTGAGCCAATGTATCGGCTCGCTTCATAAGATGTATGTGGTTAAGGACCACAATCCTTCTTTATAATAGCAGGTAAGAATAAAAGCCGTAAGTGTGATAAAAAATATATATATAATTTATTGTATAAAAAGTATTACATAAATATAAAAAAATACACTATATCAATAAATCAACACTTGTGGCTATAGTCCAAAAGACAGTATAGTCTGCTCACTGTTCATCCAGGACGCGTTTCACCAAATTGGCTTCCTCAGCTGGAAAAAATGTGCATGAGACTCCAAGGACTCCTTCCTGCTTTTATATCCAATTGATTGGGGATTGTAGCTTGTATTTTTCGCGGGCAATCTCCATGGTAACGGAGATGCCCTGTGTTACAAGCCTCTTTTTCGTCCGGTTACTTCCGGGTATGATCACTTCCGGTTTCGGCTGATCTTGCATTATGCGTTCCACGGTGCGTTCCACCATGCGTTCCACCGGGCGGCTGTAATTCTAATGTCCCAAGCCATTTTCAAAAGTATTTTCCTCAAGCAAATCGTTGACAGCAAATCAGAAGGACACAATAATATTGTTAATAGTCTAATAGGGGCTGCATATGAAAAGGCATGAATATGTAAATCCCACACATATAGTTCTATAAGAAAAAGTGCATATCACAACTTATGTAGCATGCAGATGAAATAACATATATATTGTTAACATATATGAAGCCTTAATTAGTTTATACATAAAGAAAGTTGTAAATGATATTAAAATATATTTTATCAATGGGTAAAACCATATAGAATAGTGAGGAGAAAGCAATTCTGTGCACAAATATTGGGTCCTTAAAAAACTCTTATTCCAATAGATGCACCCCATAAAATTGAATAAATATATCTTTATATAAATAGGGAGAGGCTTAAAAATATAAACTTATAAATAAAAAGAGCTACAGGGAGAGTGGTGTCATGTAGTAACAATAAAAGATAAAACATTGAGAGATAAAAAATTAAAAGATCAATCCGCTAAAAAATGGCACATTTCAAAATCGGAATTTAAACCATTGGGGATGAGGCTATTCAGTTTAAAAATCCATTCCATTTCTACTTTGCTCAATTTTGAGTCAAAGTTGCCTCCTCTCCAATCTTTAGTAATCTTATTAATTCCTAAAAATATTGTACCTTTTATCACACAGTTATGGTGGATTCTATAGTGTAAAGACACGCTATGATTTTCAAAACCTTTACTAATGTTTCTACCATGCTCTTCTATTCTTAAATGTAGAGCTCTACATTTAAGAATAGAAGAGCATGGTAGAAACATTAGTAAAGGTTTTGAAAATCATAGCGTGTCTTTACACTATAGAATCCACCATAACTGTGAGATAAAAGGTACAATATTTTTAGGAATTAATAAGATTACTAAAGATTGGAGAGGAGGCAACTTTGACTCAAAATTGAGCAAAGTAGAAATGGAATGGATTTTTAAACTGAATAGCCTCATCCCCAATGGTTTAAATTCCGATTTTGAAATGTGCCATTTTTTAGCGGATTGATCTTTTAATTTTTTATCTCTCAATGTTTTATCTTTTATTGTTACTACATGACACCACTCTCCCTGTAGCTCTTTTTATTTATAAGTTTATATTTTTAAGCCTCTCCCTATTTATATAAAGATATATTTATTCAATTTTATGGGGTGCATCTATTGGAATAAGAGTTTTTTAAGGACCCAATATTTGTGCACAGAATTGCTTTCTCCTCACTATTCTATATGGTTTTACCCATTGATAAAATATATTTTAATATCATTTACAACTTTCTTTATGTATAAACTAATTAAGGCTTCATATATGTTAACAATATATATGTTATTTCATCTGCATGCTACATAAGTTGTGATATGCACTTTTTCTTATAGAACTATATGTGTGGGATTTACATATTCATGCCTTTTCATATGCAGCCCCTATTAGACTATTAACAATATTATTGTGTCCTTCTGATTTGCTGTCAACGATTTGCTTGAGGAAAATACTTTTGAAAATGGCTTGGGACATTAGAATTACAGCCGCCCGGTGGAACGCATGGTGGAACGCACCGTGGAACGCATAATGCAAGATCAGCCGAAACCGGAAGTGATCATACCCGGAAGTAACCGGACGAAAAAGAGGCTTGTAACACAGGGCATCTCCGTTACCATGGAGATTGCCCGCGAAAAATACAAGCTACAATCCCCAATCAATTGGATATAAAAGCAGGAAGGAGTCCTTGGAGTCTCATGCACATTTTTTCCAGCTGAGGAAGCCAATTTGGTGAAACGCGTCCTGGATGAACAGTGAGCAGACTATACTGTCTTTTGGACTATAGCCACAAGTGTTGATTTATTGATATAGTGTATTTTTTTATATTTATGTAATACTTTTTATACAATAAATTATATATATATTTTTTATCACACTTACGGCTTTTATTCTTACCTGCTATTATAAAGAAGGATTGTGGTCCTTAACCACATACATCTTATGAAGCGAGCCGATACATTGGCTCAGGGTTTGACTATATACCTGGAGACTATTTGGACGAAAAGGAGGGGAAGGGTCGCCTCTACGGACCCTAAGGCGCATATACCTGAGCTAGTACATTAGCTCAGAAAAGTGTGAGTGAGTTACTTATGCACTTTATTTTTATTTACATTTTGTATACAGGTTACACTATGTTCTGTATATTTGTGTTTTGTATTTAAGGTATATCTGACTACTCTGGATTATCCATTAGTATATATTATTCATCAAGGTACAGCAAGGTTTTCCTTTATTCGTTTTCTTTTCACATCCACTAGTATAGAGCGCTACACCGATACTTCTCAATTAACTTTAACTGTTTAACAGTTTTGTTTTTCCTAAAAGACTGATTGGTAATCTTGCAATTCAATGGTCAATTCATGACAATCAGTTGTTTAGTGAATAAATCTCAACGTATCAAAGGCGTTCCACAGGGTTCCTAGATATGATCAAAGCTTATTGGAATACAGAGAGAATCCTTGTCTGGACGTTGAAGTGGAAGTTAAAATCAGATCAGTTCAAGCTGCACCTACAGATGAAGGTTCTGGCAGCTGAATGTTGTATTGGTGGAGCTGTTTTTCTGATTTATATAGAAATGCTGACAGGCAGCAATGACTGTACTAAAGGAAGGTTTACAGGGATATGAGCTCACACCAGAAAAGCAAAGTGAGCAAGATTCCCCAAAACAACACAGCAGACCGAGCTTACAAAGGAGGCTTAATTGCCTGTTTCCAGCAACATAAATAAAAACATTTGCAAATTGTAACAGAATCAAACTAATTCTCACATCAAACCAGCTCAATAGATCAACTGATACAGAATTGGAACAATTTTGTTTTCTACTGTTTAATGTGGAATAGTTACATAGTTACATGGCTGAAAAGAGACTTGCATCCATCAAGTTCAGCCTTCCTCACATATGTTGTTGCTGTTGATCCAAAAGAAGGCAAAAGGCCTAGTCTGACGCGCTTCCTATTTTGCAACAAACTAGGAAAAAATTCCTTCTTGACCCTAAAATAGCAGTCAGATATCTCATGCGATCAAGCAGCTATTACCCCACTAATTAGAAATTATATCCCTGTGTGTTATGTTTTTGCAAGTATTTATCCAATTGCGGTTTAAACATCTGTATGGACTCTGATAAAACCACCTCTTCAGGCAGAGAATTCCATATCCTTATAGTTCTTACTGTAAAAAAAAAACCTTTTCTTTGCCTTAGATGAAATCTCCTTTCTTCCAGCCTAAATGCGTGAACTCGTGTCCTATGTATAGCCCTGTTTATGAATAGATTTCCAGATAATGGTTTGTACTGGCCCTGAATATATTTGTATAATGTTACCATATCCCCTCTGAGGCTCTGTTTTTTCAAACTAAATAGATTTAAATGTTTTAACCTTTCTTCCAAACTAAAATGCTCTATTCCTTTTATCAATTTTGTAGCTCGTCTCTGCACTTTTTCTAGTGCCATGATATCCTTCTTTAAAACAGGTGCCCAAAATTGCACAGCATATTTAATATGTGGTCGTAACCAGTGATTTATAAAGAGGCAAAAATAAACCATGTTCATTTATAAATGTGTCAATTTCAATTGAGATCTGCACTTTTTGCAAAATGAAAAAACAGGACACTCTTCACACATAAAGCTTTTCAGCCTGCTAAAGTTTTTTTAGGGGTCTGGAGTGACCCTTTAATGCACATGTAGAAGTGTAATACAATTATCTGCATTTTCTGTGCTTATTTCCATTTATTATGTAGCACAATATACCATAGTGTTGTAAATAAATGATACAAAGGATGAAAAACAGACGCTAAACACATTACAGTTAATAAAATCTTACCGCTTAGAGAGAAATCTACACTGGAAGCTCCAAAAATGATGCTTTCTTTGGAATAGATGGCCACTTCTCTATCCGCGCGGAGATCATACATACGGCACTGCAAATAAATCACAAATAATTAACTCAGCAGGTCATACTATCAAACTACTACAATTTATGTGGATCCTTCCAGGCATATGCGCCAAATCCACTGTATCAGGTCTCTTCCCCAAGAAGAAGCCGTATTACTTTAGATATTACAGCAGAATCATGTTTATTGGCTAAAAGCATCAGCTAAGCACTCTCAACCAATGAGCATGGCCTTGCATTAGCTCTGTTTTGCCCAACAGAGGGATCTGGTTTCTTTTCCTAGAGAAGACAAGATGCAGTGGATGCATCCAGTGTGGAAGAGATAAGTTGTCAAACTGTGTTAAAATAATTTGACATCTTACCATGGGACGGCGCCAGGGAACTTCTGGAAGTAGTGGGGGTAGTAGTGCTTATGGTCCTTGAATAGTTTGTTTAAAGTATGTAACATGGACAGATTATTTTAGCAGTTTTAATGCAGTAAGTGAAAAGTTTAATTACTCCAACATAAAATAGATGCTGTATACGAGGAAACAAAAGCAGAGAATATGAGAATGGATAAAAGGTCAGAGAACTCAATAATTTGCCTTCCTGTAAATCCCCACTTATATCTCAATAAAGGAGAAGTAGGAAACATAGGGTGCATTTTAACCTCCTCAAACAATGCACAGTGTAATGTTCCACTAGGTTAGGGAAGGTCAGTAGTCTTAAGGAAATGTACATGCAGTGTTTATCTGAGGTTAGACAGAACATATACATATATGTGTTTAGAAGAAGAAATGTCGAATATGCAAAACAATGAAAACTTGTCATTTACACAATGGTACATGTAAGAAAATAAAATATTACCGTAGCATCATCCGAACCAGAAGCGAATGCATCTCCACTAGGGTAGTACCTATGAAAGCCGAACAATAACAGATCAGTATTTTGGAAAAGTACAATACAGAGAGTCACAATATCACATGATAATGTGTTTTAAATTATTGCACAGCTCAGAGATCAGAGCAGCACTTTAAGACCAGGAGCTATAAAAAGAGTATAAATATAAATACCAATTATACTTTTAAATTCTCCTATTTCACAATATATGTGTCAGATTTCAAGTGACAAAAAAAAAAAAAAAACACATCATGCTATATTTTAGTGTTAAAATGTGGTGGTACCTTTTGAGGCAAAAGAAGCACCTACAAAGAGAGTTTACAATTTAATAAGACTATTATAAAAATAAACATTTAACTTATAATTTCTAGAACACTTGTATACAAGATGAACATTCACTTAAAAATATCAATACTGATTCTTCAGATTCTACAGCACCCAGGAAAAGTATAGGTTTATTTACACCATAGTGAGTATGAATGCAGATGGAGCTGTCCATTAACGATTTTGCTGCTGGGTTTAATTCTGGATCAATCATCCCTAACATTCCATTAGTCTCCATGGTAATTGCTCTGTATTAGAACCCCAGAATTGTTATAAATAACGGTCATATTCACCAGTTAAAGCCGTTGGTGTATGTGTAATACTTGAACTCATAAATGCTGTGTTCTATCTAGAACAAAAAGTAGAACTGACCGAACGCTGTTTATATCAGATTCGTGAGTTTCAAACGACTGAATGCACTGTCCGGTTCTCATGTCCCACACCATTGCCTTTTTGTCACAGCCCTAATTAGAATGACAAACATACAAAGGTATATGGTTAAAAGAAGAGGAAAAATAGAGCACAAGGATTTCTTACATCATTTGGGTTTAGCAGCTTATGTTGCTCAAATGTTATGACACAAACAGATCAAAGAAATAGATAAGTGAATTGTCCATGAACTAATTTTTTTTTTTGATGTAGGTATATACAAAACATTTATATATTTTTTTAAACTCATAAGCCTTCTGTTCTGCAAAGATTACACACCTGTTTCTACTGCACTACAAATAATGGTTAAATGGTTTTTATTTTTTTGTACTTTCTTTTCATTATCAAAGAAAAGAGTAGATGTTTAATACCTGCTATTATTATGACAGGGGAGGCTTGTGATTGAATGCAAAGCCTGTTTACACCAAAGAGTTAAGAGACACAAAGTGATCTTGTTTTTGGAAATCAATTACTGCTGATTTTGCACATCTCTTAATAAACTCATATGCAGTGTCATGTGATTGAAAGCGTTCCAGGACTTACTCCAGACACAAAAGTATTTCCTGTTTCAGAAGGTGCCAGATCTAGACACAGAACATCAGCTCCGTGGCCATGGAAACTCTGCAGCAGCTGTCCACTCTCCACGTCCCACAGTGCACATGTTCCATCTCCGCTGGCTGTCAGGATCTAAGGGTGTATACACACATATAACATGACTCAGATTATATATAATGCAAACCTTGCTGGAATATCATCTACTGAACCGCTGGATCCATAAGTAGTCACTCAATGTTTGTTTTGTTTTTGTTAAATCAGCTGGATTTAATTCACAAAATCAAGCAAAAGGTTGACATTAGCATAATTATTTTTTTTAAATTTGCAAACTACTGTTGAAAGCATTTTTCAGAAAAAAACATTTTCTGCTCGATTATGTGCGACATCTGTGTCTTTAAACATGTCAAGAAAATATATGCAAGATTTATCAATTAGACAAGGCCTGTTCTATTGTCTCAACACTGCTCTTTTTTATTTTATTTATTTTTTTATACATGTTTCCTTCTAACGCCCTCTTTGCTGTTAACCAGCATGGTTCAGCAAGTTTAAGATATTTGCTTATCAGTAACCAAGAGAAGGACAACATACCAGAACCCTGCTCATACCCAGAGACCATGGACCCCTTGTGAGAGAAATCACACTCCAACCCTGAAAAAGTTTAACTATTCAGTACATCTAGGCATGTGTATTTAACAGGTTAATCACCAACTACAGTAAAAACCACCAATTAGACATTGGGACTTTAGGAGTTAAACTCTGTGGATCACAAAACAATGTGGACAACAAAGGATTAACATCATGTGGGACTGGTGCACTGTGTACTTTTGAAGTACTGCATTTGACGTGGCAGGACTAAAAGAGTTAAAAGTGTTTTACAGTTAGTAACCCGGGTCAGTGTGGCCTACCATGAGTGCACTGCCCAGCCATGACGCACCAAATTCAGCTGGTAATGTCACAAGTACCCGCTAATGCTCCAGAGCATCTGTCTGATAGCTGGTGATCAGAAAGGTTGTCCTTTACACCATAGGCAGCTTAGAATTCTCTCAATCCAGTGGTGTACTTACATTGAAAGAACTTTTCTCCTCTACTGAGAGCTCCCCTTTCGTTTTGTTGCCTCCTAGTACACACATAAAGACTTGCTCCATTTTCCACTTAGCTATTTTTTCAGCTAGGCCAGACATAATTGAACCAGTGTGTCTTTTCCCAATAATGATTGGTTCCAACTGTGTCGCTGCAGTCTCCCACTAGGTCCACACATTCTTTTTCATGCTTGTCACACCTTTATATAATATCTTGTACTGTATAAATGCACTGCCTGTTGTACAATAAACCAATACTGTCTTGTCCCTGCACTCAGTCTTGCCTAGTGTTTGGGTACAATGTTGTAAAAGCTATTCATAACGTTATCTAGCTTTTAGCTGGTGGTTGGGAAATATCACTGAAGAAGCTCAGGTTGCTAGGTGAGTAGCCATAAGGTACCAGGTTGCTACGTTAGCTCCTGGAGTCACTGGAGAAGAGAGGGGTTGCAGGTCCAAGATTGGATCCAAACTCAAGGACCAGGCACTAAAGGATGTATCAAATAATGTAATAATGTTTGGTCTGCAAAATGGCTGTTTAGAACCTCTGTTTTAGGCGAAATCTATGCCAATATAACAAAAAAGGGTTGAATAATGTTAAGATGCGGCTATTGCGGCTATTGGTGGTAATGCTGATCCTTTTTACGGCACAAAAATTCTCCAAGTCAAATCTAGATTCTCCTAGTGAATGTCCAGGCAAAAAATGATCGTAGATGGACATACATATTGTTTCTTTATGTAAAACAGAAACATAGGACAGGATACTTTCAATGCATTTTGAATAACGAAGAATTTCTGCATTTGAGACTGTATTGGCTAGGCAATCACTTTTCTCCGGAAAAACTATTGGCGGTGGACATAAATTGAAATAGGAGTGCACACCATAAACAAACAAAAAAAATCACATATTATGACGACATTCTAAGGGTGTTTCTCTTATTGAACTTGTCCTCTTATTTGTAAGGACATGTTCTTGTGACTCATTGATCTTTATTATTTTTTTTTTAAATAGGTGTAGTTCTGATTTTTCTTCATACTAACATCATTTAGTTTCACAATTTTTGAATAGCAGTAAATTATATTGCATAAAAATAAAAATCAATGCTACTCCAGACTCAACGCTAAAATAAGAGAGTAGCAAGCTGTGTACTACCACCACCTAAATGCTCTAGTACACCACCACTACCTTACACATTGTGTGTTTATTGCAGTGCTCACTGGGCACTCATTCTCATTGAGAAACATATGTATAGTGTTGGAGATGGAAGGAAGATGTATATGAGTAAAAGGGTTTGGCAATTTCTTACAGCTATACAACCATACAAATCCCAATGAAAATTATCACTTAGCATTTTTCACAAACATATGATCAAACATCATACCTGCTCACTGTCATCCTTTTTCAGTAGTTTTGCAAAAAACTGGAGAGGTAATCCTAGTGGTCCTCTCAAAAAACTGTTCAGCAATAAAATATTGACAATGAAATTCCCCGTAGATTTGCCATTAAATTCTACCTTCAAAAATACTTGTTGTCCACTAAGATTTTCACCCATAGAAACTTGCATAAACAAATCAAACAAAACATATTTTGTATAGTGCTTTATAGCACATTAAGAAACAATATAGAATACTATGTATAATTATCAAGTACCCTGTCCGTACTCCCTTACTCTACATTTTTGAATTTGTTTTACTTTGTCACACTACCTGCATATCACTCACTATAGTAGCCATTTCCACGCTTAAGAAGACAATAGCCAAACACAGTTTTTGCTGCAGTCCTGGCACAATGATAAAATAAAAACATAATACATAAACACACTGATTAGGGTCCCCAGGACATTCATGTTAGTAGAGGGGAATTGCAGTTATTAGAAAAAAACTGACTCGAGGGACAGGACAGCCTGGCCCTGAAGTCAAGGGTTGGAGTAAGTGGGTAGAATGGGCATAACCTGGATGAATTCAAAGAGAAAAAATTATATACTTAGAGCGGGTATATTGAGAGCTGGAACCCAGGTACAAACAGCACACAGATAGCAGCTCTCTATAACCGCCAAAGAGTTACCCACATAAGAGGTAACAACTCAATTGAGGGTAAAAAATACACATATTGTAAATAATGCATTCTTTATTCAATACTGTACGTAAGATAACTCATAAACTGTGACGCTAAATAAAAAAAGTAATACAAAAATGTGCGAGTGGCTTAAAAAAAGGATAATTCTATGTAGACTGTATGTTGTGTTACACCTAAAGCTGCTGTGAAAGTATCCAAATACGGAGCAGCTGTTGCATGTAGCCATGTAAATTTACAATGTTAAATATCCTTCATAGTTAAATAGAAACAGGGCTACTATTGCAAATGTGTATCCACAAATGACAAGTCAATGGTATACAGTATAATTAAAGGTATCCATTGTAGTAAAACAGCTAGAGCAGGTATGGGAGCAGGGAGGATAGCAATATAACGGCAAAGAGTTAGGGTATAAAGGATAGGTAATCGCCCAAATTGGAGGAAGAAAAGGTAGGAAAGTGAGGAGCCAAAAAAGTAAATGCCCCTTCCTATCCCATAGATCCAAAAACTCCAATGGACAAAATATGAGAGGTAGGGGTTAGAAAGCCATCCAAAGACCATTAAATGCAGCTTCAGTGTAAAAACATATCTGGGTACAGCATACAGCCCAAACTGGTGCTAAGTAAAAATAGTCTCCCCACAAGGAGCAAAGATATGCCGAGTATTTCTCTAGTAGAATCCTGTAACACTAAGCTTGAGTAGTAACCTCCACATAAAGTTGTTACCACACTACCGCACTCTCCATTAGAAATTTGCCACCCATGTCTAAAGCTCCCTTTATCTAACCTGCAACAAACTAGCTGAAGATAATTAGGCTACATAGAGAAACCTTATGAAACATAAAATAAAAGAAATCGCCTAACAGCAGCATCTTGCTCGCGGTTCGGCACTATGTTGCTAATGCTCTTGACAAAGGCGCAACATAGCTTGTCCCCCATCAGAAGCTGACCCCTTACTATTCTTTTTTTGACACTGTTACAATTATCTGTGTAGCAAAATCCACCTGGCTGTCCAGCATATTTCACTTCCATTCGTTTCCCCATAGACTTTCGTGTGAATTGAAACGTTCGTCTAATTGTTCCCATAAACTGTACTGAAATACGTTATTAACCATATAAACACAAACTACCGAACACCTGACCACCTTGATGCATAAGTGTAACTTCAATTAACCTCCCTGTTCGCTTCATTGAATTCCCCATTGAAAAGCACGAATTCGTTGTTAAAGTCCCTGGCCTGACGTTCGATAGTTTGAATCCCACGAACAAGGGGATTCATCCGAAGGCAAACACAGCTCTGGATGGCATTGAGTTTGGGAATTTTTAGCCACAGAAAAGAGACCGACCGCAAGGCCAAAACTCATGGAACTGTTTTCGGCTACTATTGCCCTTTGCGGTCGGTCAAAACTTTACACCTCCATAACTCCCAAACCCCTGGGCTGATCTGGGTGATTTTTGACTATGTTTCTCACCCAGATCAGGGCTATCAGGGGATATCATATTTAGGGGTGTACCTTATATATTTGGGGTACATCTGGAACTTGGGGAAAATTGTGTACCTTTTTAATTATGTTAAATGTTTATCTGAGGGAGGAGATGTGTGGGTTGTACCTTGTACCCGATTGGTTATTGTAATAATTATGGTGGGTGTCTCCCTTGCATGGGAGGATTGCATAAAAGCAGGGGTTGTGTGATTAAAGATCAGTTCTGCTCCTGATACTGTGTGTCGTCCAGTTATTGGGAAAGGTGATGGGATATTCTTGGATTATATTTCTGAATGTGCCTGCTACTCTACTGGATTTACTACTTGTTCCTGAGCTATTCTAGGATACCAGCGGAAATAGGCTGTGGGAGACCAGCTCTCTGCTACAATCTGAACGTCCCAAAATAGAGGAACGTTGCTTTTCAGGCAGTCCGAATTTGTCATAACATTATTCATAAAGGGATGAGTCTAAAGGGGCAGATTATTCCTATAATGACTCTTTCCATTAAAACTGTGCAAGCCATTCTGTATCAATAATGATTAACATAACCAACTTGAACCCCAGTATACCACCAATCACTTTCGAAGTGTCCACACGACCTCTGTCAAGTTTGAAATCCATTTTCCTCTCCCCTGTTATTTGCTTTAATCAATACACTATGCTATTCAAATTGCAAGCAAATATACAGTCCGTCCACTATGATCTACTGGTATTCCACTCCTGGTGGGATTATATTCTAGTTTGGACATGCTAACCTATGCCATTCACCTTGGGTTTTTGAACTACAACCCAAATAATTTCTTGCTAACCTATAGCTAAGACAGAGTACTATTGGAGATTTAATACAAAGATCTGTAGTTACATATCTTTCACCACCTCTGCTTTTGACTTTGTGGGTGCACACTAGTGTATGCAATGCTCCGGGTACAACTTCAGATGCATACTTCAAGTAGGTACACATATTTCATTCTGAATGTTGTTGATTTTGCCTGCTCTATGCAAAGACTACAATTTTTTACTAATCTAAATACATTTTGCTACTATATAATTTGCAGGGGACAGATCAATTATTTAACACTGGCTGGCGACCTGCTGAACGACCTCTGTGCATTGCCAATAGCTTTGAGGAATCGTGTTGGGAACGTTTTCTAAAGTATGGCTGTCATTCGTGACAAATGTCCTTACCTGCATGTCTGAGTTAGTAAAGCTACAGGCGGAGAGGTAGTTGGTGTGCATTGCTACAGATTTCTTTTTTGACGCCATATTTTCATTCTTATCAAATGTCAGTGGGTACACCGAGCACTTATTGTCCAGACCACTGCGCAAGAAAAAAAAAGACATACTGGAATTAATTCAGCACAAATCCAGGGAAACTATAAAGCAATAAAACACAACACGCTCACAATTCACATGTCATCAAATGAAAATGGCAGCTATATTAAGAATTTAGAAAAGATTGGCAATAGTAAGAGCCAATTACACATTTTTTTTAATAATAATACTGCCTATACAGAGGATACAGTGTTACTGTGTGAGAGTATTGATTGATTAAAGGAACACTATAGGCACCCAGACCACTTCAGCTCAATGAAGTGGTCTGGGTGCCAGTTACTGCTAGTTTTAACCCTGCAGCTGTAAACATAGCAGTTAGAGAAACTGCTATGTTTACACAGCGGGGTTAATCCAGCCTCTAGTGGCTGTCTCACTGACAGCCACTAGAGGCACTTCTTCACGGACCTCCAGCGTCAAAAAAGATCCCTATAGGAAAGCATTGAGTAATGCTTTCCCTTGGGCGGGTTTGAATGCGCGCGCCTCTGTCCGCGCATGCGCATTCAGCTCCACTCAGGAGCTAACGTCGATAGAGGAGGAGAGGTCACCAGTGCCGAGGGAGCCAGACGCTGGATTAAGGTAAGAAAATAAATGGTTAATTAACCATTTATGCGCCGCGGAACAGTGACTCTAGTCACCGTTTAGGTGACTAGGGCTCTATAGTGTTAGGAACACATATTTGTATTCCTAATGCTATAGTGTTCCTTTAAGAGTCAGTTACACAATTTTAGTAATACTGCCTGTACAGAGGATACAGTGTTAATGAGTACTGTGTGAGAGTATTGATTGACTGATGGCTCTGGAAAGTACAGTACAGTATATGGTTAGTAATGAAATCACTTCTCTTTGCCTTTGGTTTTCCAGTAAAGTAAGAGGAGGCACTGATAAAAATTTATATACCAAGATACACTACTCAGATTATTTAGAAACTCACTCAGTACAATTTGCAAACATTCCAGGAAAAACAATTCAGATATCACAAAGGTATCTCAGGCTCCCTCTTATTAAGATACCCCATGTATCGGGTGGTGTAAGCGAATTATGGTGAACCCCCTATCACTATGACGTGTTGTTCTACCTCTGTTTTTTTTTGTCTGTCAATGCGTATTGTTACATTACTCCATTTTATAAATGCACTGCAGAAAATGTTGGCGCAATATAAATGCTAATAATATACCTAAAATGTAAAAGTTCTCAAAATTATCGAATGGGAGCAGTTTTCCAATTCAACTAGATTTACCTAATTTTAAATTGACAACAATTTGGCTTATTAAATAACTGTCACCAATACATTCACCAGTTTTCATACTTTGGCTACATTTAAATAATAGCATTGTCTGCTGATCACTTACCCACATGCAATAGCACATCCAGAGGGAGCATATGCACAGGCCATCACCCAAGTACACGGCATGGTTACCGCATGTTCCTAGAATGGAGCAAAGGACCTTTAACACGTATCTACAACATTCCTTCTCATCTTGTTCTATCATGGAAATTCTTACAAGAAACGTACAATTTATAGAAACTAAACCTTAAAAAATCTGTTATCACTTTATTATTATTTAAAATAAAAGATGACATGTATCATATATATGTATGTAATAGTTTATAAAGCATATGTACAAGCTAACACTTATTTTCAGTGTGTATCTTGGCTTCTTTGATGAGACGCATCTCGTTTTGACCAAAGATTATGCAAATAATTCAGCGTTAGTACACATTTATGAATTCTGACATCCCATATAAACACCGGAATCTCAAAACTGCACTTTAAGCCTTTTTAGTCACTTTTTTTTTGCACAATGTCTTAAAGGGCTACTCCAAGCACTGTAACTACTATTGCTGTAGTGATTATGATGCCAGAATGAAAATTGCACAGAATATATTCCTGGCTGGCTGATGACACTCCAATGATGCTGCCGGAGGTGGAGTTACACCTCTGGCAGCAGAGGGGTTTTAAACTTCACATGTGGTAGGGGTGGGGGCGGGGCCTAACAACCATACTGAACGGTCGCACTGGATACCTTCGCCAACCGCTGCTTCCTAGTGCTCAACAAGTACCATAAGCACAGCACCGGACGCCATGAACACTGTAGACCTCTTAGCCACCGCAGCTTGGCTGGGGTCTCGCTGTCCTCACCCACCCTGGACCCAAGACCAGGATCCAGTTTCCAGTGGGTAGACCTCTCCTACTCCAGAGAGTATAGCAGGATAGCTCTTACAAGAGCTAGTGATTATACTCCAAGGGAGTATAAGGTGTATAGCAATCCGCAGAGTGAATATAGCTGTCCCCTCCACACATGAGACAAGGTCTATGTTGAGGGTGAAGAGGAACTGGTTTAATGGGAACCACATGCAGCCTTATATGCAACTCCCCATGCAAGGGGTTTTCCATAACATATTCCAGGGGCATTCCCCACTGGACCTGATAGGGGAATATGGCAAAGTACACACTGTAATTAAATTGGCTCTCAGGTCCAAGACACTCCCACACAAAACAGGGTAGTCCCTCCCCTATGCCTGAGAGATAATTGAGTCAGAAACTATACTAAACTCAATTATGTCCAGGCACAGAAAACATACATTTTTAGATGGCTATGACGCCTCTGGAGGAAATCTTTCATAAGTTCTGGAAGAATCTGGATTATCGACAGGGCCAGATTGAGGGGAAAAGATAGAATGGTGGCATGCCACAACACTCCCCATCACACGCTAAGCATTTCACAGCTTGTGTGACTCTACGGAAGTTCCCACCACACACGCCAAAGGAGCAGGAACTACAGAACATTCAGTGCTGGTCCAGGCCCCGGACTGTCCATTGCCCATCACTACTTTCTCAGGCTGAGAGCCTCCAAGAAAATTATCCTAGCTCAAATCCCATATCTTTTCAAATCCACACTGCTGCTAAACCCTCTGGGTCATGGTTTACCGTGCCAGGAGCAACCAGATCAGTGGGAGTGGCAAGAGGGATTTGGACCAGGGCCAGTGGAGTGGACTGCTCTGGATGGTGGGGACTCTATCTTGCAAAGTCAATTGAATAGCATGTATGAGTATCAGGTGAATCAACATTTGTCATGTCGATGTGTGGGTTAGGGGGCACTGTCTCTGTTGGCTTTTTTTTGCCATTATTATGTATATTTCCATCTAGTGTGTATGTGTATATAACTCGGTATTCGCCATCATACCATTTTATCCCAAAAATGAAAGGGAAAATAATGTTGGAGTTAAGTAAATATATAGTTATTCATTTAGTTATGCGCTATATAAAAAAAATGATTTTCTCAGCCCTCCTGGGTGGTATGTTTATTCCTCATTCTCGGGTCCTCTACCAGAGACCAGGGAGTTTAAAGAGTTCTGCACAGTATCTTAGCTGTTCCTAGAACTGCACTCTTCCGGACAGCGATCTCAGATGTCCCACCTGGATTCTGTTGAAGCCACTCCCCCAACTTGGGAGTCACAGCCCCAAGTGCTCCTATCACAATTGGGACTACTACTGCCTTCACTTTCCACATCCTTTCTAGTTCTTCTTCCAGTCCTTGGTATTTTTCCACCTTCCCATGTTCCTTCTTCCTGATGTTATAGTCACTGGATATTGCCACGTCCATCACGACTGCAGTCTTTTGTTCCTTGTCTACAACTACGATGTCTGGTTGGTTGGCCAGAGCTTGCTTGTCTGTCTGGATCTTAAAGTCCCACAGGATCTTAGCCCTGTCATTCTCAACTACACTTTGTGGTATCTCCCATCTGGACTTAAACAGGTCCAATCCATAATCTGTGCAGATGTTTTGGTACACAATCCCAGCAACTTGGTTGTGTGTCTCCGTGTATGCTGTTCCTGCTAACATCTTGCATATGGCTACTAGGTGCTGAACTGTCACAGAGGCCTCTTTCCACAGTCTGCACCTTGGGTCTTGCTTGGTGTGGTAGACTCCAACTTCTATTGATCTGGTGCTCCTGTGCTGCTAGGATTAGTGCCTCAGTGTTGTCTTTCAATCCTGCCTTTTCCAACCACTGGTAGGATTTTGTCATGTGAGCCACATCCACTATCTGCCGGTGGTACACCCTATGGAGAGGTTTGTCTTGCCAACGTTTTAATTTAACTCCAACGTTTTTTTCCCTTTCATTTTTCGTATACAATGGTATGATGGCGAATACCGAGTTTAAATTACAACATTCTGCTTAACCTTGAGGTAGATTCTTTTTGCATAACTTAGAATGCTGGATGATGTGTCCTCATGCAAAACTACCATAAGCACTGACATTTACTAATAACTTATCGGCTGAGTAGAAATTCTTCTACCTTATTACTACACATCAAACAGCAAGTGATTAGTCTTATGTTCCTCGTTTCCTATATTGTTTATTATGTTTGAGTTATTTTACTAGAAATGTTTTTATTTTCTTTAATTTAAATGGAGGCCTCTAGGATCTATATGTGACATAATGTATGTCCTCGTGTTGCTGGATACACTATTTTATTTGTGTACTCATAACTCCATTGTTGTATCACTCTATAATGCCTGATTACTCACTGCATAGCTGACTATGCTAATATTACAATGTACAACTCTCTGTTTCTAACCTCTGTTTAATAAAAAAAAATTTGAAAAAAATAAATGCCATCTGTGCAGCATTTCAAAGCAAAATGCTCCACATACAGCTTCCAGGCATCATAACCACTCCAAATCACTGAGGTGGTCATAGTGCCTGGACTAACCCTTTAAGCTGGCCTCATGGATCAAGGGTAGGCTATGTGTTGCAACACTGATTGTATTTACTTATATGTATGCATTACAAAACAATACAGAGAGGCAGTAGTACAAATAAGCTTTCACTTTCAATATTAATTACTACAAATAATAATGTTTTTCCTCCAAGGCGGCTGGAGATGAAAATCAAACTTTATTCTTTTTTTGTGTGTTATCTTTCTTACTGATAGACTAACAAATAAAATACAGCACGTAAGAATACTTAAAAGAATGAGAGGTACATTTTCACCCCCGACAAATGGTACAATATTGAAATCAGTTCATTAAACATTGTTAGGCATAATTGTCATTAACCTCCTATTATATATTTTGTGATTGCCTGTTAAGCATGAGCAGCCAGTGCTTTGGTGATGTTAACTTTCATTTTAACACAAACACATAATTTTTTTTTTGGCCAGAGTGGAATTTAAGATGGTGATACATTTTTGTTCTTTAGACAGTTTAGGTTTGAATTATTTGACATATCATTGGCAGTCTCTGATCTTCTAAACCAATGTTTCTAAAAGGGACACATCAGACCCCTAAAACACTTTAGCTTGCTAAAGTGCTTAGTGTGTGAAGAGTGTCCTCTTTTTTTCATTTTACAAAAATTACAAGTTTCAATAGAATTCGGCACTTTTATAAATTAACCTTGTTTACAAATCCTGGCTGTCAATTAGACAACTGGTCCTCTTACTTCCTGGTTTGGTTAGCTCAGTGGAGGTAAATTCAAGAGGAAGCAATTGCTCAGAGCACCTGCCTTGCAATTACTTCTCATTGAGCTGCATTGGGAAGTAATTGGACAGCCACAGAAAGTCTGGGCGGGGCTAGGAGGGGAGGACTTGCAAATGCTTGCTTGCAAGAGATCTGCAGCTTTTACAAGCTGTTTTTAGATACAACTCAAGTGAAAAATGCATTAAAGAACGCATGCATGTTTTCTTTGGGGATATATCTACTATTTTTTTTATTGGATTATTCCTTTAACTGCTGGGTCATGAACCAAAATTTGGTGACCATGCTATTTATTTGGTTGTACAGTGTCCAGTGATTGGATCAGAGACATCATATTTATCAGACAAAATGGGGCTGCTCACAATAAGTTATTTAGTGTAGTGTTACTTTCTAAGTGCAAAAGATACCCCTATAAACACTGTGCCTAATTAAGGTCTTTTTCCTAATCAGTTTTGTTGTATTTTTCGTAAACATTGTAGAAAGGGTCTTTAATGTACATAATTAGATCCCTGTCTCAAAAGTTTAAACCACTAAATAAAATATAAAAAATCACCAATGACTTTATTAAATAACAAAAAAAAGGAGCTGTTCCCAATTGATTCTATGAAATGTAGCCCATGGATCAGCACAGCTAGAGGAATAGGCCTTGACAGAGCCAGGAGGTAGGCATAGCAGCCACAGGAAGTTTTAGTGACAGCTCGCTTGCTGGGTGAGGCGGAGCCACAATGGGAGTATTTATACTGGCCATCTTATGAAGTGGCCATTTTAACTGAACCTAAACTTACCTGTCAGTTGTCCCTCCCAACCTTTCCTTAAATTTGGTTAGGATAGATGATTTTCCCGTTTTTTCACAGCGGCAGGGAATGGCCAGGTTAAATCGGGGGGTAGGTGGAGGAGGTTTAGTGTGGATTGGGCAGTGTTACACATGGTTGGTAGGTTCGAGCCCGTCAGTGGCTCCGAACCTGGGGGTGTAGCGGTGTCTAGGTACACCCCTACAATCGATATGGTGGGTAGCGGTGTCTCAGTATACCCCTACAATTTATCTGGTGGGAAATGTAGTCATATTGGACGGCCAGTTTCAGTGTTAACATGTTATTTAGATTGTTATCTATTATTATTGTGGGGTCATTGCTAGGGGTATGTTATGTATATGGGGGTGGGGGGAGGGTGTTGACTTTAATAAGATTTGTTGGCAATTACCCCATTTGTTATTCCTTAATTATTTAATAAAGCTGTGGACTCATATTTCCAACAGTATAACCTGTGTCCGTGTCTTAATGGGGGTTTGGGTAAGGTTAATGCATATGCTGGCAAGTCCGACTGTGCGCCTGTCAAGATTTATAATGGATAACCCCAATATATGAAAAAATTATAATTCTTAAGCTTTAAGTATATAAAATGTAACTTTTATTGATATTAATTTTAAAAACTAACGCAATTAACAAAACTAAAATACAATTTTACATAAATGTTTCAAAAGCATTGTAACAATCTACTCATTACACTTATAAACAGGGTTAGCTGCCTCTAACACCACTAGCAGAAAAGCACAGAGATCAAAGATGAAAGAAACTATATAAAATTTCTCAAAAGACAAGGAGATTTCGGCAATAGGAGAACTTCCATTGCTATTGCCAAAATTTCCTTGTCTTTTGCAAAATGTTGCTGCTCTGGCATGACTTGAGATGATAGCTCCTGGCTTTGGCACAGCAATCGGTGCTGTTTTGTCAAAGGGACACTATAGTCACCAGAACAACTACAGCTTATTGTATGTGTTCTGGTGAGTACAATCATTCTCTTCAGGCTTTTTGAATTAAACACTGTTTTTTTCAGAGGAAAGGCAGTGTTTACATTACTGCTTAGGGATACCTCCACTGGCCACTCCTTAGAGGTGCTTCCTGGGGCAGTGATGCACACTGTGCAGCACTGACATTCAGTGTCTCCACCCTCTACATGGAGACACTGAACTTTCCTCATAAAAAAATGCATTGGTTCAATGTATCTCTATGAGGAGATACTGATTGGCCAGGGTTGTGTTTGACTTGTTCTGGCTCTGCCCCAGATCTGCCTCCTGACAGTCTCAGCTAATCCAATGCTTTCCTATGTAAAAGCATTGTAATTGGCTCAGAACACCATTTCTGATTATGTCAGCCAAGCAGGCAGATCAGAGCCAGCAGCAGCAGACTGGATTAAAGGTAATATTTTGCTATATTTAGGGGGAGAGGGGGAGAGGAGCCAGGATGGCTAGCTGGTGGATTTCACACTATAGGGTTAGGAATATATGTTTGTATTCCTGACCCTATTGTGTTACTTTAATATTTTAACCTTTTTTTCTCAGTTGATGTATTTATCTATTTTATTCACAGCAGGAGTGTCACTTTATAACTTTAGTGATATGTGCCCTTGAAGGCATGTCATGGCATACTAGATTTACTATACTTTCTGCTTACATTCCAAATTCCTTTTTTAGGGTTCCCTGTACTGCCGTGTGGGAATTTTTCACTATATAGTTTCATCTTTAATCTCTGTACTTTTTTGCTAGCTGTATCGCTTGACATATAGAGTGCAATCAGTAGATTGTTACAATGTAGACTTTGTGCTTTTCACACATTTATTGTAAAACGTGCATGATGATCCAATAGCCTGACCAGCCTCTCAGGGAACTGAGATTGCAGTAATCCCAGTCACGTTTTTGTGATTGGAAATGTTATTCTAGTTTGGTTAATTGCTGGGATTTTTAAATAAATATCAATAAAAGTTATATTTTAAATACTTTAACTCTAGCAATTCAAGTCAAAACCAAGTCAAACACTGTAAAAGCAGATAGGAAATAGAGACATTGTTTCATTTCTCCTCTTCTTTGTATGATTTCTCTGTATGGACTGTCAGGTGCAAGTACAGAGCTTATAACAATGACTGATAGGGAGCTAAGATTGAGGCTCTCAGTAACAGGATAAATATGTGCAGATTTCTACATTTAATATTATATTTCACACCACCCAAATACATATTTGTTAAATGTAGGTATGAGTTAGCATAATATGTCAAATCCTGGTAAGTGACAGTTTACGAACCACAGTTCCAGACGCTAAATATGGCAAATAGGTATTATTGATTTCAAAGATACTGTTTGTTCAGCATATACAGTGGTATTAAATGCACTGTGAGTATATTGGAAAAGACAATACTTTAAAAGGTAGAGGATTGTAGATGGGTGATATTGAAAGTACTTTTATGATCGTGGTTTTACAGCACAGAAAGAGGATATGAATCACTGGATTCACTGAAACAAGTGGATATAAACAGATAGACTACTGGTGAGGCCATTTATAAACTCAGTCAGTGCAATTTGAAGAAATTCCAAGGAAAATCTTCAACGGAAGTAGAGTAATGCCTCATATTCCCTCTTTTATAGTGAAGTGTGGGGAAATTATTAATGCAGGTAGGTTTTTATTGTATTTTATTTTTACACATTCCTTCTCCAAAATATAAGTGGTTCCTTAAATAGTGGAGTGCCTGGGGAGTGTTTGCTCCCTGGTAACAATTGTTCCAATCCCTTACAGTAGGTGTAGGTGTGTTCTCCACTCTATAATTAAGGGATGTGGACAAATGACATGTGGTGACTGTAACACATAGCAGTGACTTATTTTCTTTATAGGGGTCTCTTGGACCTCTAAATTCATTTAGTTATGTTGTGAGGCAGGCTATGATCATGTGTCGGAGAGAACAATGGGCCTATTATAACTGTGAACGCGGGTTATTTTTTTTACTTTACACCTTCTTCCACCAGGTTCACATATGGTGAAGGGATCAGGAGAGTCTCGCTCTAATGGTGGGCCTCGTGAACCATCAAACATAAGGTTACAGTATAGCTGGAAGCCAGTCCTTGTTCCCTCACGCATATAAATTGCCCTGATTCTGTTTGTTTACATTTATGCATTTATTCATTCCATACCCACTGGTTAGTTCTGAATTATGCATCTATATTTAAACTTTTGGGCCATATTGGTAAACCTGAAAACATACCTGACTAGGGGATAACCATGGAGTTTGGTTACTATTCACCCAATTGTAGCTAATTGAAATCCAATTTGTAAAATTTAGGCCAAAATGAGAGTATATCTCATTTGGTAAAATCTGGGGTCTGTTAACTGGCGGTACTCACACCTGAATGTCACCCCAAATTTACTCTAAATTGCACAATATGGAATTCTATTTATAAGTTTGTTTGTTTGAATAAACCTCTCTGGAGCCGTGTAGAACTTTTGATTATTCTTTGTTACTCAATTTTCTAAAATTATATTCATTTTCTCGGTGAGTTAAAATTCACAAAAAAAATAATCTGGTACTGACTATCACCTCTCCTTTATCTGTGAAGACAAGAAGCATGCACGGCTTACCTTATTGGTGGTAAACGCGTCCCACACAATCACTTTTCCATCCTTGGGGTAAAACAAAGACATTTAATTGTTTAGACATACGGCAAGATAATGCATTGTAAATACAGTACAGCACAGAAATAAGTGAATCATTTTCTATTAAAGGGACACTATAGTCACCAGAACAACTACAGCTCATTATAGTGGTTCTGGTGTCTATAGTCAGTCCCTGCAGACTTTTTCATGCAAACACTGTCTTTTCAGACTGATTTAGGTGGATTTCCCCCTTAATCTTTTTAGAAAGGGTTAAAAGTACCTTTATGCCACAGTGCAGCGCAGGACAACCAATGCCAGTCCCACCTCCAATCAGCCTCTTTGGCTGACATCATCAGTATTTCCCATAGGGGACTGGCTGAGATCGCCAAGAAGGCGATACCAATCAGCATCTCCTCATAGAGATGCATTGACTCAATGCATCTCTGTGAGGAAAGTTCAGTGTCTCCATGCAGAGGGTTGAAACACATGGCATGGGCTCATCTTTATCCTATCATTATTTTCAATGTACAATCAATATATGTCATAACTTACAGAACATGTAGTTCAGCACTCAGCTGGAGTTCCATTCATCAGATAAGATGAATAGCTACTATCGGCTTCCAAAGAGCTCCTGTGGCAACTTTGTGAACAGATCTGTATCCCTGAAACATAATCATGGCTTCAGTACAGTTACAGTAAGTAGCGAAGGAGCAGCTCGAGAGTGAACATATTGCACATAATGGACAAACTGATTCCTTCTGTAAAGTCTGTCACCCAGCGGGTGGGCTTATATTGGCAGCAATTTTTGCAAATCTTTACATTTTTAAGCAAATTTGTGTTGATAGATAAAACACAAATATTGATCTTATCTATAGTAAGGCTGCAAATTGAAATGCAGAAATAGATTGCATCTTCACTCTACCATGGGAACTGAAAGTAGCATTGTTTGCCCTTGTTAAAGATTGGACTATATTACTGGTAATAGTTGTCAAGAACAAAATATAGACATAATCATAATCTTCTCATGGCTCCCAAACAAGAACTTGGACACAAAGCCTAGCTTCTCTTTTTGTTATGTGCGAGGGACTTTTTTTGAAGGCACTGATAAAGTACAAAAAAGAAACTATATAAAGATAAAGAAACTAGAGTTTGTAAATAATTATCTTTTTTTAGCATTTAACACTACTACTAATTAATTAATCAAATAATATCATGTAAGCAAACCTCATATCTGCAAATATATTAGAAACAAGAACTATTTTGGCACTACGGCTGACTTCAGATTAAAAATACGTTGGAATGTGTCCCTTTCACACGCTGCTTCTGAGAAGTGATATTTTCCTTGTGCATAATTATTCAGCATTTATTACATTGGTTAAATTATATGTCATCCTGTCCTATTGTGTTTTACACCCCACCTCCTATAGACTGTAAGCTCATTTGAGCAGGGTCCTCTTCAACCTATGGTTCCTGTAAGTTTTCTTGTAATTATCCTATTTATAGTTAAATCCCCCTCTTATAATATTGTAAAGCGCTACGGAATCTGTTGGAGCTATATAAATGGCGATAATAATAATAATAATATGTAATGTATTGATTTTGAGTGTTTAACACACAATAAGAAAAATTAGATGGAAAGGTCATTTAATGAATAGTCTTGTGTTTATAGCTCTCTCTGCATTGCCGTAGTACTGCAAGTTTTGCAATCACGGACATCACAAGTGCCATTAAAGGGTTTCTCCAACCCTTGTTTTTTTTTTTTTTTAAACCTGTGAATAATGCCCATTATTTATCAGGGTTTCCTCCTCCCAAACACTTATAAAGCATTCTGAATGAAGCCTTTGACTGGACCATTTAACTGGCTCAGTGCATGCGCGCACTCTGGGCAGGAAAAAGGATGGGAAGATAGGAGGAAAGAAGGAGAAGGGAAAAAAAGAAGGAAGAGAGAAGGTGGGAGAAACATAGAGTATCAGATTGGATAGGAAGGTGAGAGGGCTACAATGAAGGAGGGTGGGCGAAAGGCAGGGCCGGCGTTTCCTTTAGGCAAGACAGGCACTTGCCTAGGGCGCCAGCCTCTGGGGGGGCGCCATTTAAGGCTGTCTGTAGGAAGAGACGATCTCTCTCACCAAAGTCTGCTGTCAGTGAAGATCCAGAGCCCTGCTCTGCGTAAGCCACAGACAAAGAAAATTAAATGCATGCACCGCAGAGGCTTCACTGCTGCTTCCTGAAATCAGCAGGAAATAGAATGAAGGAAGTGGCATGGGAGCCAGGATGGCAGCCAGGCAGAGCAGCTTAGTGTGGTAGGTGGAAATCCATCACAGTGTTACAGTGTGCAGGAGGAGGCTGGAGGTTATCAGGCATCCGAAGGTTTTCATCCTCTACCTGTGTGTACATAACTGTAAGTGCTCAGCTCTGGCACTATGAGAGGGACCCCAGTCAGCACCATTAAAGTACTGCTACATATCTATCCAGGGCCGTTTAAAGGAATTTAGGGGGCCCCAAGCAAAAAGGGACATGGAGGCCCTCCCCTCCCGCCCCCTCCTCCCCCCCACGCAAAGCCTACAGGAAACACAGCATAGCCATACAGTTTAAGTTCACCCACACTTTATATAAATAAAAAAGGTTTACAGTGCAAATACTGCTGTTGCATATACAGTGCATAAATAAAAAATGTTTACAGTACAAATACTGCAAGTGCATATAATATGCATAAAATTTGAACATTTTCAACAAGTGAACATTTTCAAAAAACACCACTGTACCATAAAATCAAATATACATTAAAAAAGTGCACAATAACTAAATCCAACATACATAAAACACACACACACTCACACTAACAGACACACACATACACACACACTCACTCACTAACAGACAGACACACACACTCACTCACATTAACACACTCACTTTTTTTAATTTAACCCCCCCAGCCTCCTTACCTTTGGGAATGTTGGGGGGATGGGGGGTTCTCCCTCTCCCTGGGGTCTAGTGGGGCTGCTGGGCGGTCGGTCGGGCGGCGCTGGCGAGGGAGCACTTTCCCCTGAGTGCTCTGCTCAGCTCCCTCGCACGCCGCAGAGTGATGCCGGGAACCGGAATATGACTCCCGACCGACCGGATTGTTAGTTAGCCGCAAGGCTAACAAGACATTTGCCCTGGGCATTTGGGGGCGGCTTTATTTGCACGGTGTATGTTTTTGCTGTGTATAAGCTATGAACTCTTTACTTGCACTGTATATTTAGGTATTTAATAAATATCTTAAAGGGACCCTCCACTGCCCCAAAAAAAAAAGAAAAAAAGAAAAAAAAAAGGAAATCACTGTTTTGTAGATATAACTCTAATGAAAATGTCTGTATTTAATTTGCATTGTTTCATTGGGGTTATATCAAAGAGCACCTTGCAAAAACTGCAGATCTCTTGTCTGCAGCCTTTGCAAATCCTGCTGAGACTTTCCATGTCTATTCGATTACAGCCATTCCAATGCAGCTCAATGAGAAGTCTTTGCAAGGTAGGTGCATATATGTTCCCTTGACTGTGATAGGTATACGTTTTTTAAAATGCTAATCATTTTTCATATCCATGGAGATCCTAGGTGTTTAGCATATGTGGTACAGTAGTCTGTAGTGGTGCAGCATCTATTACTTTAGCAATAGCCCCATTTGAGGTTTTTTGTTTTATTTCTGTAATTAATCTTTCCAAACCTGGCAGTTGCACAGTTTGTACCAGTTGAAATCTCAAAGGCTACCAAAGGAGGTAAGGATTTGTTTGATGTGCATTGCAATACACTATTGAAGCAGGTGAGATAGACATTGCAGGGATTTATGCATATTGCTCCAGCATCTATGCTTAGGTAGACTATGATGAGATAGGGCCTCATTCACCCTAACCTATAAGTTCATTATGATGGTGATTAATGTGTCCCTTTAATTGTCGAAGTGGGCGACAAAGTAAATTTTTGCCTATGGTGTCAAAAATTCTTCCACCGGCCCTGAAGGGGGGGGGAAGCATTCTGCCTGCAAGGTAAAGATTATTACGTATGTCGGCAGCGTGCAGTATGCACTAATAACAGACATATTTTAAGCACATAATTGAAATTAGGCAGCCCCCAGCACACAATTAACAATAACTCTGAATGTGCAGTGTTTCAGGCTGAAGTGCCTATGGTGGTTGGAGTAACCTTTTTAGACACAAGGAAAAGATGAAGCCTTAGGGGTCAAGCACAGCTTGATCCCGAAGTCAACATATAAATGGACTACGTGGGTATAAAGGGTCCTAAACCCTAAATAGTACAAACGCGAGAAAGGTTGCCTAAGAGGGTGAAAGAGTGAAGGGCGACCTGCCTTTCCTCTAACACTCCCTCTAGGTATACCCAAAGTAGTGAAAATAACTCATAGGGTATGAATAGAGTAAAAATTAAAAACTTATGTTTATTGAATTCTATTTAAAAGATCTCTTTAAGGACAAAAATTGATGAAATAAGTGAAACACACAGTGTTGGTGAATTTAAAAAGGAAAGGTTCGATGCAGTCTAGACAGTCTCTTGTATATCTAACTAACTGTAAGTGGTTATTAATAAACTGATTTATACAATAAAATACGGTAATCTCTTGTATATAGAATTGTAACTAACTGTAAATTGTTACTAATTAATTGACTTCTACAATAGACACAATAGTCAAGAATATATTTAAGAGATAAAGATCAAAAGCTAGTAACTGTCAATAAGTTGCACTTAGTTGGATAGTATCTGATAGGAGCTCAAATTGATAAAGCCTCTATAGATCCACTAGTAATAAATAGATGGGACTATGTTCAAATACTCTCTACCTTCCCTGTTAATATGGAACTATATTCACGTAATCTCTCTCTAATAGTGCTATTATCAATACTAGTTTAAATTTAGCTTACATCAAATAAATGCAAAGACGCCTAATAGTGGTAAGAGGCTAAACTTGCTTGTTGCTTATTAATGGCAGAAAGTGCCAATTAGCAAGCAGGTTTATTAGGGTGACTGTAGCTAACATCTGTGTAGAAATGGAATACAGTTATAAGCAATATAATGCCATGAATATTCCTAGGAGTTAATGCACACAGTAACCCAACATATAACCTTAAAAGACAAACCTCAGCATATAACAGACACACCATCAAAGTCTAATCTGTTTGAAATTGCACTTTAGAAATGGCACTTATATTAGTACCTATCTAGACAGGAGGGTTGAGATACATTTTTGAGTATGTTATAGGAGCTTTTTGATAATGTGTGTCAGAGGGGCCTTTTCAGTATCCATCTAGGCAGTCTATGTATGCTTGGCAGCTGCCTTTGCAGTGTTTATTTAGATAGACTGATTGGGTTTAATTGCTCCATTACCCCCTGTTTTTTACTCAAGGATCAAAATACTCTTTTCTAATGGGATTTGACCTTGGGAGGGGATCTTTGCTTATTTTCTAATATATATTTTTTCTAAATCTTCCCTAAGACCTTATATTTGGTACTATCATAGGTTTGACACTACTTAAGGCAGTGCAATATATCTAGCATGCCTATTTTTTTTTTTCTCTATATATTTCTAAAGTGCAATTTCAAACAGATTACTGTTTAACTCTTTCACCCTCTTAGGCAACCTTTATCACCTTTTTAGACACATTATCTCTACTACTGCATATGACAAATTATATTTTCATTGATCCTGGTTAGTACATTTGTTAATTAGTGATCTCTGCTTTTAACATTGATTCCATATTACGTTTTAGTTACATTTGAAGTTTCAAGGTTTGATCTCTATGGTTGATAGCTAATAGGTTTACGCTCTGCAGCAGATATCTAAAATTTGCCCCTCATGGGGTCTTTGGACTACAACACTCCTAATTCCCTATTATTATTAGCATGCCGGCTAACTATTTTGGTTCCCTTGCGTCAGGGAGTTATGGGCAGACAATGAGAGACCTCATCCTAGTTTACTGGAAACAAGTATTGCAGAAAGTGTCAATGTCCGGCCCACTTATGATTTTTACATATCTGCTTCCCCATTCCTGTATCGGGGTTAAATTGGTCCAAAATGGTCTGTGATGAAGTGCCGCTAAGCGTGTCAACATCTTCTAGATGTACTGTCTGTACTGCTGTGTCCCAGGCTTATGTTACCACTTTAGTCATTATTCAATAAAGATACAATATTTTTATACGTTCTTTCTCTGCACCGGCAGAAGTCAGTGTTTTTTTTCTTTTTCAATGTGCTTGTTGGATATTGATTTTAGCCAATAATCAGTTACCAAACTAACAGGTCAACTCCCTGTTTCTTATAGTCATGTTTATTACATCCTGATCCCGTCTCCAGAAATTCATACGCTTTTTAAAGGTCTAGTTTTAATGTCAAAGTCCCTGATGAAGTCCGACTCAACTAGCCATGTTTAAAACCCAAATTAAAAATCATTTCTAAAAATCTTAAGCCCTATTTGAAATGGTTCTTTTTTTAAGCCTGAATGAATAGTTTAGCTACGGTTGACTTGAAAATAGGCACTGCATCATTTCTGAGAGGTGACGTGTGTTTTGACGTAAAACCATGGAATTTATGTTCCCAAACCCACATTCACATAGATCAGATAGTGCATTCATGGTCACACCTTGTTAGAAGATTGTTATATTACCTGAGATGAGCTCACAATCCTTCTTTTGTCTTTACACCAGTCCATGCACAGTACTTTATTACCATGCCCCTTTAGTGTTCTTCTTGTTTTCATGACAAACTGGCCAAGAGATTCCACACGTTCTGCCACTTGGTGCACTAAAAATAAATGCAAAAAAAAGAAAGAATGAGTGGCACCACTGTTCGTCTGCAGCTACTTCTCCGAGATCTACATGATCACTTAATAATATGGATTAACTATACCAAGAATAAACAGACTCTCATGTAATAACAAGACGAAACACCCACCATGTGTTTAGTAAATCAAAAGAACGTCATGAATTGAGGTAACATGTTATCAAGGTTTATGAACCAAATCCTATATCATTTATGTAGACTGCAGGTATCAATTATCGGATCAAAACAAATAGTAAGCAAGCTCTCTCAGTTTTACATGTCACATGTAGTAGTAGAGATAAGATGCCTTACTGGCACTTGTGATGTCCATGAATGCAAAAACTATCTTAGTAAGGCAATGCGGAGAAAGCTATAAAGATGAGATTATGGAAATTAAGGTTGGAAATCAAATATTTGAACATTGCTTATCGAATCCGGGCCCTGCGAAGAAAGGGTGAGGAAATAGTTTGCCAAACTTTACAACACAATATAATTCATGTTACAAGGTGACCATCCTTTCATTTATTCCAGGAAGTTTTATCTTCTTAGAGAGATATACACAGTACTACCTAACTGTGAGATGTCAAGAGTAAAGTAATACTTTATATGTTAAGTTTTTTTTAATAAATGGATTGCTGTACTAGCAATATTTTGAATCATTTAATTGTCAATTATAAGTAAAATAATCACTTTTAAATTGTAATTTTTCCCTTTTTGTCCTCATTATTCACTTTTTAGCTATGATTGTTTCCCCAGTCTCCAACATCAGTAACACATTCTTGGCATTCTCCTTTCTACCCAACACATCTCTCTGCTTTATAGACCTGCTTTGGGCCCAACCTTGCTTCCTCTCCCCTTCCTCTTTCTTATTATGAATCCATTTTCACTTCCTCCAACCCTCACCTATATTCCGCTAAGTCGGTTTTCACTTCTTCTTTCTTTCACCTTTCATTTAAATGGATTGTGTAAGGGTCTTCCATGACCAGTAATGCAGCAAATGTTGAATTTCCAACATGGTATGATATTAAGCCATTGCACTAAACATAAACACCATTAATCATTTTATTTATCATTTCAAACACACCTGTTTACCAGTGACCTCTTGATCATGTATTTCAATGTTATTATTTCAAGGAAGGAGGGAAGTCTGTAGTATATATATATTTATATTTCAATAACCCATACATCACTGTGTGGCTTTAATAGGTTATTAAATCATCTAAAAAATAAGAAATTATCCCAAGCAGGGCCGGACTGGGAGAAAAATTCGGCCCGGGCATTTTTTTAACACAGCGGCCCACTAAGAAGGGGGCGGGGCAGAGGAGGTGTGTTTTGTCATCACCAATGACAAACACGCCCCCTCTCAAAGTGAGCATGTTGGATCAATGCTCTCCCAGGGCAGACCATGCGCAGAGCTCTGCTGAAGAGCTCTAGCATGAGAAAAAAGCTCTGTCTTTGTTCTGCACAGTGCAAGCAAATTTAATAACATGCTTGCACTGTGTTTCCTTGCAACTTGTCTCTGGTGTCTCTATAAATGGATACCAGGAGACAAAAGGGCCAGGAAAGAGTATTGTGCATGTGTTTGGAGCCTGCTTGTGGTATTGCGTGTGTGTAGAGTGAGCTGGTCGTGGTGTGGTATTGTGTAATAAGGTTGGTTTTAGTCATGTTGTGTTTGTGGTGTAAAGTGGTGTAATGTGATGCATATGTGGCTATGGGCTGTAGAGAATGTGTGTATTGGGGATATAGCAAGTGTGTGCATACAGGCTATAGTGTGTGTGTGTATATAGGTGATGTAGTGTTTATTTACGGGTGTAGTATGTGTTTGCTTACAAGGAATCTAGTGTGTGTATAGGGGATCCAGAGTGTATATGTTAAGAGTGTAGTTTGTGTGCATATGTGTATATATGTATTTGGAAGTATTGTGTATGTGTGTGGTTCAGTGTGTTGGGGGGGTTCTGTGTGTATGTGAGGGGTGCAGTATGTGTGTGTGAGAGTGCGGTGTGTGTGAGAGTGCCGTGTGTGAGAGTGATGGGTGAGAGAGTGCTGTGTGAGAGTGCTGTGTGTGATGGGTGTGAGAGTGCTGTGTGTGAGAGTGCTGTGTGTGTGAGAGTGCTGTGTGTGATGGGTGTGAGAGTGATGTGTGTGTGAGAGTGCTGTGAGAGAGTGCTGTGTGAGAGAGTGCTGTGTGAGAGAGTGCTGTGTGTGTGAGAGTGCTGTGAGAGAGTGCTGTGTGTGTGAGAGTGCTGTGAGAGAGAGATTTGTGTGAGAGAATGCGGTGTGTGAGAGAGTGCTGTGAGAGAGTGCTGTGTGTGAGAGTGCTGTGAGAGAGTGCTGTGTGTGAGAGAGTGCTGTGTGAGAGAGTGCTGTGTGTGATGGGTGAGAGAGTGCTGTGTGAGAGAGTGCTGTGTGTGATCTGTGTGAGAGTGCTGTGTGTGAGAGTGCTGTGTGTGAGAGTGCTGTGTGTGATGGGTCTGAGAGTGCTGTGTGTGATGGGTGTGAGTGATGGATGTGAGAGTGCTGTATAAATGTTAGAATGGATTGTGTGTGTGTAGGGGGGGCAAACAACAACAAAAAAAGGTATTAAATCCCTGGTGTTCCCTGGTGGTACTCGTGGGTGAGTGAACTCTAGCCTGTGGGGCTAGAGTTCACTCTCGCGAGATCCGGCGCGTTGCCATGGCAGCGCGCCGGATCTCGCGAGAGGAACCCGGCGGAGCTGCAAGTTAGAGCTCTGCCGGGTCCTCCTCTCCTGGCTGGCTCCCTCCCTCTCTCCCCGCCGGCGGCCAGATCTGACAGCATGTGGGCCGGTGAGGGAGAGCTTTGATCTCCCCACCCCACTGGCCCTCCATGGAAAACAGCAGGGCCGGCGCTCGGATAGTGCCGGCCCTGCATAGACTGGCAGGGGAGATCCTGGGACCTCCCCTGCCGGCCTTGGCCCATGGCCACCGCGGCCCACCAGGCATTTGCCCGGTGTGCCCGATGGCCAGTCCGGGCCTGATCCCAAGGCACACCACGGTTTGGCACATAAAAAGACTATATATTCATGCATAGAAAATACAACAAGATATCATTATAGCAGAGAGAAAGTGCATAGTATAGTGCTAAACCAGTATATGGTACCAAAACCACAATGTAAGTAAAGTGCTAAATGTAAAAACCTATTTTAAAAAAAGGTATACTGACCAAGAGCAGGAGAAATTAAACACCAACGTTTCGGCAGAGGAAGGCTTCCTCTGGGAAGTGCATTTAGCACTTTACTTATATTGTGGTTTTGGTACTATATACTGGTTTAGCACTATACTATGCACTTTCTCTCTGCTATAATGATATCTTGTATTTTCTATGCATGAATAAGTACTATTTTTATGTGCAAAACCGTGGTGTGTCTTGGGATCATTTCTTATTTTTTATTACATGTATATATCTGGTATGGGAACAGATTCTCTTCCTTTAGGAGCACCCTGTACCTTATAAACCACACACTTATTACCTATTTTTCAGTAGAGCTCTTCCTGTAATTTTATGTTTGTATATTAAATTATCTACCTCTGCTTTGTACTATATTGTAGTCTAGCCATTGTAACATTTATAGACGTCGGAGACCAGTGACTCATCTAGAAGGAGATGGTGAAGAATGTAATGTCTATAAAGACGAAAATCCAGTCTATAAACCCATTTTATTGTCTGATATTAATCTGTTTACCCTCAGAGCAGTGGGGTATATAAATTAAGAAAATAAGGATTGTTGTTCTGGTGAACTCCATATAAATATAGATGGCCTCAAGAAGTGATCCCTCTCTCTTATCCCTTTACTCCATGCATGTTTGAGAGCTGCAGGATATTAGTTAAAATTAAATTTATCCATTCCAGCCTGGCAGTTAAACTAGTGTGTTTCTCATACAAGTAAAACATAAAAATACATACAATTTAAATGCATAATTTAGTAATGAAGCATACAGGCTGATGGCGTCAGAGACAGTCCCTCAAAGATGAAGCCCTTTTCAGATGTAATGAGGACCCTACCTAGTTCCCCCTCTGCCAATCATATGTTAAAAGTTACATGTCTTCACATGGTGGTCGCAATAAGGGAAGTTCACTCAGTGTTAAACCCAGTCCAGACAGGTTCTGGTAAAAGACTGTGGATCTTCGTGATCCTAACACAAGTATTGGCCTACAAAGCTGGGTTTCAAATAGCCACAAGAGCTTACAGAACTGATCAAGTTGCAAATCTGAAATTTCAACAATACTCTCAATGAATATTTGCATATTTAGCATGTCTTGCCCTCTCTATGCATCTTGTAGTCAGTTTATTACCATGTACATAGTACACCCTGCAGTCAGTTTATCACATTATATGATGGGCTTAATACACAATGCAGTCTATGTATTATATAAGGGACTTAAGGCAGGCATGCAGCAAAGATATTACATTGTAACAGGATATAACACAGTTTACTGTTTATTTAAAGTAACACTATAGGGTTGGGAACTCAGACATGTATTCCCGACGCTATAGTGTTAAAAACACCATTTAGCCTGCCCGCCTTAATATAGTAAAATCTTACTTTCATTCCAGTATGCTGCTGCTAGCTCTGCCCCTGATCTGCCTGCTTGGCTGACATCATCAGAAGTGGTGATCGCAGTGAACCACAATCCTTTCCCATAGAAAGCATTGGATTGGCTGTAACTGTCAAAGAGGGAAATCATGGGCAGAGCCAGCACAATTGTCAAACAAAGCCATGGCCAATCAGCAACTCCTCATAGAATCAATGCAACTCTATGAGGAAAGTGCAGTGTCTCCATGTAGAAGGTGGAGACACTGAATGGAAGTGATGCACATAGCACTTTCCCAGGAAGCACCTCTAGTAGCCATCCAAGGAGTGGCCACTGGAGGTGTCACTAGACTGTAATGTAAAACACAGTGTTTATTGCAAAAAGCATGCAGGGACTGATTATACTCACCAGAACAAATACAATAAGCTGTAGTTGTTCTGGTGACTATAGTGTCCCTTTAATATGATGTTGGGGGGACATAATTAAACATGCTGCAGGTATATTTTATTGTAAGGGAAACATAATACACCCTGAAGCCCATATATTATATTGTATAAGTGGCATAACATATCCTACAGTTTATTTTTATGTTTTAGAAGGTTCTAAATTCCATTAGATAACAAAGCTAACTCTTTCTGTGCCACATAAAAACTGTCAAAGTAATGTATTACTTCTTGCCATTAAATTGTTATTTTAAAAGCAACATATCCATGAATGAGTACAATTCACTGTCAAAGCTGAGTATCAAACAACATACCATCTTGGGTGTAAAAGACTATACATGAAAGCATCAAGAAGGGGGCTGAGTGGCAATATATGACTGTGAAAATAGAGGATAAATGAAGCAACTACGACTAACCCAGTTTAGAGAACATAATACAAATAGTGCAATAAAAGTGTAGGCAAAATAATGTGATTACAATCTTATTTAACAGAATGCTCTAATCATACGCTATGCCAGGTGCTGTCAAAAGATAACTCCCCATATACTCAGTAAATGCCTTCTCTCGTATAGTTTATTTAAATGCTGAAGGAGTATACATTGACTGCTTGCTAAAATGTTGTACACATATCTGATTCACAAAGAGTTCAACTATATTACAGAGGCTCAATGCTGTGCATTCAGGGTGATGTTAAGTTTTGGTACTCATGTATATGGTATGTGACGATGTGATTGGCAAGTAAAGACTTGCTACAGGGTAGTGCAGATGTTGATTTGTCGGTTGTGGAGCACAGTTGTACGTTTGCACACCTCCATCAAAAGGTGCTTTGTAAATATTGGCATTAAATAAGGTGACGCTGTGGTGATGCTGTATTTGTATGAGCACTGCAATAAAAGTCAAACTACTGATGTAGCTGAAAAGGTCACTAAGGTAAAGTTAGTGTTTACATATGTTTGGGGCTGGGAGTAAGGGGCATGGTATAAAGTTCTGCGTTTAGAATTGCAGGAGGGGGGTTAGGGTTAGAAGGTACTTGTCTTGAGGGGGATGTTGCCTGGATCTTCCATAAAGTTACATAAATTCTCAGTCTGGGTGAAAGTAATAGGATTTAAGTCCACAGCACCCTGAAAGCAGATACCCCATAATTCTAGCCTCCTAAAACTGCAGTGTGGTATATAACTTTGTACTCTGTACTGATTTATTACAGCACACTGTAATGACACAGAGTACAAGGTGTACACCACACTGTCCCTGGTCCTGTAATGACATTCATTAAAATATAAGGGAAGCTTTCACACACAAAGCCTTTGTTATACTTGGCTTTTTCAAGTCAATTTTTAAAGTGAATTTCAAAATGTTATAAAACTACTTAGGATTATAATTAGTGATAACTGATAATCCTATTAGACATTACAATGTCAAGTTTCTGATCCTGGTTCCCTAATACTATCGGGGTTATTATTCACTAAAGTAAGAATTCAGCTAATTGAAGTGGTTTGGGCGCTGTGTCCCTTTTGCACTTAGTGCTACAATGTAAAACATTGCAGTTCCAAAGAACTGCAATGTTTAAATTGCAGCTATAAGTCTGCCCTCTGTGGCCACATGGGGCGCTTCCTTATTCGTAACGGACTTTTGGTCCGTTATCTGACACTGGACGTCCTCACTGACCTCCAGCGTCAGATTTTCCCCATAGGAAAGCATTGAATAATGCTTTTCTATGGGGAGGAGTAATGCGCGCGCGACCATTGCAGCGCATGCGCATTAGGTCTCCCCCACTAACTGACGTTGGCAAGGGAGGAGTGTGGGCAGAGCCTGACCCAGTGCAGTGGGACATCTGTGCTGGATTCAGGTAAGTAGCTGGAGGGGCTATAACCCCTTCAGCGACATGGGATGGGGGCGGGAGGGAGTGGGGCAGTCAAGGATTCTTTAGTGCCGGGGAAACGGGTTTGTTTTCCTGGCACTGGAAAATCCCTTTACGATCAAAATAGCTGAACTGGAATAATTCGAGTTAGCTCTCGGTTCAGCTGTACTAGCCTTCAAAGATTATAACCCTTTTTCATTTATAATTTCCTATTGGACACTATTATCTATGTCCAACCCCCTTTTTTAAATTTATTAATAGAACCCTGTCTGTTATCTTGCCACATCACTCCAAAATCCAGTGAAAGAATTCTCATAGAAAAGCATTTAATTGGAACGTTCTCCCATGGAGAGAGTGCATGCAGAGAGTGCATGCACGCGCTCTGAGTCAGGGTGGGAGGACAAGGGACGGATTTTAAATATTAAAATTAAAGGACAGAGTTTGAAAATACAGCAAGGTGGAAAGAGCACACCAAGGGAGGAATTTGGACGCTGAAGTGTCTCCTTGCAGGCCCCCTGTCACAGACTGCAAGAAGCTAACCACGTCTTTCACCCGCACCTGAGCCCTCTAACAACAGACGTAATTTTTGCATGACATTAGGCAGCCAAGAACTCACGTGTGTCAGGGGATACAACCAGTCGCCAGCACAAAAGTACAAACATACAGTTGCAAGAAAAAGTATGTGAACCCTTTGGTATGATATGGATTTCTGCGCAAATTGGTCATAAAATGTGATCTGATCATCATTTAAGTCACAACAATAGACAATCACAGTCTGCTTAAACTAATAACACACAAAGAATGAAATGTTGCCATGTTTTTATTGAACACACCATGTAAACATTCACAGTGCAGGTGGAAAAAGTATGTGAACCCCTAGACTAATGACATCTCCAAGAGCTAATTGGAGTGAGATGTCAGCCAAATGGAGTCCAATCAATGAGATGAGATTGGAGGTGTTGGTTACAGCTGCCCTGCCCTATAAAAAACACACACCAGTTCTGGGTTTGCTTTTCACAAAAAGCATTGCCTGATGTGAATGATGCCTCGCACAAAAGAGCTCTCAGAAGACCTACGATTAAGAATTGTTAACTTGCATAAAGCTGGAAAGGGTTATAAAAGTATCTCCAAAAGCCTTGCTGTTCATCAGTCCACGGTAAGACAAATTGTCTATAAATGGAGAAAGTTTAGCACTGCTGCTACTCTTCCTAGGAGTGGCCGTCCTGTAAAGATGACTGCAAGAGCACAGGGCAGACTGCTCAATAAGGTGAAGAAGAATCCTAGAGTGTCAGCTAAAGACTTACAAAAGTCACTGGCAAATGCTAACATCCCTATTAGTGAATCTACAATACGTAAAACACTAAACAAGAATGGATTTCATGGGAGGATACCACAGAGGAAGCCACTGCTGTCCAAACAAACATTGCTGCACGTTTACAGTTTGCACAAGAGCACCTGTATGTTCCACAGCAGTACTGGCAAAATATTGTGTGGACAGATGAAACCAAAGTTGAGTTGTTTGGAAGAAACACACAAAACTGTGTGGTGAAAAAAAGGCACAGCACACCAACATCAAAACCTCATCCCAACTGTGAAGTATGGTGGTGGGGGCATCATGGTTTGGGGCTGCTTTGCTGCGTCAAGGCCTGGACGGATTGCTATCATCGAAGGAAAAATGAATTCCCAAGTTTATCAAGACTTTTTGCAGGAGAACTTAAGGTCACCAGTCTACCAGCTGAAGCTCAACAGAAGATGGGTGTTGCAACAGGACAATGACCCAAAGCATAGAAGTAAATCAACAGAATGGCTTAAACAGAAGAAAATACGCCTTCTGAAGTGGCCCAGTCAGAGTCCTGACCTCAACCCGATTGAGATGCTGTGGCATGACCTCAAGAAAGCGATTCACACATCCCAAGAATATTTCTGAACTGAAACAGTTCTGTAAAGAGGAATGGTCAAGAATTACTCCTGACCGTTGTGCACGTCTGATCTGCAACTACAGGAAACGTTTTTTTGAAGTTATTGCTTCCAAAGGAGGTTTAACCAGTTATTAAATCCAAGGGTTCACATACGTTTTCCACCTGCACTGTGAATGTTTACATGGTGTGGTCAATAAAAACATGGCAACATTTCATTCTTTGTGTGTTATTAGTTTAAGCAGACTGTGATTGTCTATTGTTGTGACTTAGATGATGATCAGATCACATTTTATGACCAATTTGTGCAGAAATCCATATCATTCCAAAGGGTTCACATACTTTTTCTTGCAACTGTATCTGAATGTGCTGCATTTCAAGCAGAAACACTGTACAAACAGGTTCCTGCATCCATGCCCAATTCTAAAAGCAGAAGTGTTCATGGACATTGGAAAGACCATTTAAATGTGAAATTTCGCATTGAATTCTCAGTTTAGCAAATAGCCCTGTGTATGTGTGAAACATTTCATGATGTCGTCACAATCTGGTCCCTCCAGACCTTCCTCCCAGCAAGTAATATCCTCTTAATACAGTATCGTCCGCTCTATGCAGCCCTGACAATGATGGATCAGTGGGACATTCCACTTTGGAAACTAGATTATTACGACAGAATTATCCGTCCCTGGTATAACGGGGTTAAATGAGAACGCTGAAATATGTCAGAGCTACAAAACAAAATACCTTTCAATAAACTGTAATGCAATTCTGGCTGGGTGACCTAATTTTTACGCCCGCTAATATGATTTAAAGGCTTGTCCATGTGGCCATCAAATGTTAGCAGCCTAATGGAATACTGTGATAATATCTGCCTTGGGGGTTACATTGTAGCATGCAATTCACTCTCAGCAGAGTACAAGTGTTTTTGAATCACTGTAGCTTTATTGTGTGTGCACTGCTGGCTTGACTTGCAGGGTTAAGAAATCAGCATGAGGCGGTGACATTGTGGGTTATTTTTATCAAGAAACCTAATAAGCAAAGCTGACTTTGCGCAGCCTGGTAGAGAGAGCTCTCTGGACAACCCCAGAGTACAGCGTGTTTATTTACAAGTTAAGCCTCCTCTGTCTCCACTGGAGCTGTCATCTCTTCCCAGATGTCATAGGAACGGAGACAGCCAGTCCCTAAATTAACATACTTACGTTCCACGTCGTGCAGTTTGGCTCTCTCTTCTTCCAGCTTTCCCTTGAGGCTTTCAGCTTCATTCTTCAGCGAGGCCAGGGTCTCGTTCTCTTGCAATCCTTCGGTTGCCATCTTGAGATAAAGCAGAGACAGAGAGTGAGGATGCAGGAAATGGAGGTGCACAAGTGTATGATGGGGATGGCTGCACAATCAGGGATGCTGCAGCACACGCTGCTGTTTGGCTCAAGCACAATCAGAAAGCTGCTTGCTTTTTTTTTTTTTCCTTTTTTTTTTTAAACAACTGAAGCTTTATTGGGTTATGAGCAAAACAACATTTGGTGTTCCCAGTATAAAATCCCACCATATATAAAGCAAAAATCTTAATGTTAGATTCATTTTAACTAAATAATTTAAATAAATAATGAAAAGCAATAAAGAGGCAAACCATTACTAATAAAGTGATTCGAAAAGGTGCAGTAATATGAACATTCTTTTGTTAGAATTTACACTCTACAACAATCAATAAAATGGTGGTGTTTTTTTGTTTTGTTTTTTATAATTTACTGTCAGGGTAATTCACCAAGGTCTGAATATAATCCTCGAGATGTGACGCTGTTATCAGCAGGGTCTGCGTTATCCTCTTGTCTTGTTAACAAATGTAACAGTTTATCTCATTTGTTGTTATATCTGCCTTGTAAAAGTCTATGTTGCCGTTAGTGGATTTTATCTGACTTTGCTATTGTGTTCTAAATTTTTACATTCACTTTGAATTCCACACAATTTGCATATTACAGAATAGCCCTGTCTGTAAATGTGTATGTGGTATGTTTATTCACTAAACACCAAATTGTAAAAAATTGAAAACACAAATTAGAGCAGAAAAAGCAAAGTAGCAAGTCCGTGACTAAAGCCATTTTATTGGTTTTTGTTCAGCTATTTTTGCCTATATTTTGAAATTCAGTTTTCAATTCCCTACAATTCAATGATATGAGAATAAACTCCTTCCTATATCCAGGAAGAAATTGTCACCAATATTGTTAAAGGATCTTAACATGTATAGCTTGGAGGAAAGATATGATAGAAACATTTAAGGGGGGATATGATAGAAACATTTAAATATATAAAGGGAATCAACACAGTAAAGGAGGAGACTATATTGAAAAGAAGGAGGAGACTATATTGAAAAGAAGAAAAACTACCACAACAAGAGGACATAGTCTTAAATTAGAGGGACAAAGGTTTAAAAATAATATCAGGAAGTATTACTTTACTGAGAGGGTAGTGGATGCATGGAATAGCCTTCCAGCTGAAGTGGTAGAGGTTAACACAGTAATGAGTTTAAGCATGCGTGGGATAGGCATAAGGCTATCCTAACTATAAGATAAGGCCAGGGACAAATGAAAGTACTTAGAAAATTGTCCAGACTAGATGGGCCGAATGGTTCTTATCTGCCGTCACATTCTATGTTTCTATGTTTCTATGCAATAGGCAGTTTTCTGTTCTGCAACAACATTGTTAGGTATGAATTCAGGACGAGGAGTGGATGGACCACAAAGGGGATTGCACACCAAACTGACTAACAGCCCTGGTGGCCAGCTCCACGCAGTGCTGCCAATGCACAGAGCACTTCTGAAAAACTCTCACAGAGCCTGATTGTCCTGAGTGTACCTTGTGCAGAACAGCTCCACTTTATTGGGACTTGGACTCTGGTGTACAGAAAAACAACTGTGAATTTGAAACTGGCCTGCCAAATGCAGGAGTGTTGGGAGTTATTACAGTGTACCGCTAAGTGAAAATTAAATGTATTACTTTTTTATTTGTGCTTTGCATGTTATATAGAATATATGTTTTAGAGGTCTTGTCCTGGATTTTGTTCCCCAGTTGACAAATCATGAATCGGAAAGAGCACATATTGAATATGTTGTGGAAATAAGGTCTACACATATTTCCTAGTTAGTGAAAAATGTCTATTTACTCATTTCACGATATATACATATATAGCTAAGCACACACACGTTATAATTAAGATGGCTGCTGGAAGCTTCTAGCTCCTTCCCCCTCCCCTCCCTTTCTCCTTCCTAACATCGACTAACTACCTCGTGCATCAAGATGGCGCCGGTAAACCGTGGGAGACCCTCATGGCCCCGCTGACATCACCTACAGTAGGCAGAGCATTGAAGCAACCACTTAACACCTAACCAATAATTGATGTATTATTCCATGTTATCTCTGACAATGCTTATGATGTAATTTTGCTTTAAAAGGGACTTGCCGTCCCCTCTGAATAAACTTTCCTCAAGTTATTCAACAACCTAGAACCTGTGTCTGGTGTGAATTACTTCAGGGAGCGTGCACGCATAGTTTCATTGATTTGGCCAGGGGCAGATACACAAAGAAATAATCAATACTTTAATTGATTTTTCCACTTCAATTGGCGCCCAACGTGGGGCCCACCGGAGAGCCGGTTCGGAGGGCCGGAACCAACGGACCGGAGCGGACCTCCGGAAAGTGGGACAAGCGGAGCCTGATCACCTCCATAATACAGCTGTTGCCTGTGTTATTCTCCTGTTTTGTGCCGGTCTGTCTCCGAGTCCACTTCCGGCTTCCAGAAGGCTACTAGAGACAGGTAATTAACTCATCCGGTGCGCCCTTTTTAAGTGAACCTGTCGATTGTCTATCTGCCTCCTGTATTCATTTATGTGTGTGTGTTTATTATACCTTTAAAATATGTTTGCTTGACTGCCTAGCGGGCAGGGAACGCATTTTATATGTTTGCTTGACTGCCTAGCGGGCAGGGAACGCATTTTATATGTTTGCTTGACTGCCTAGCGGGCAGGGAACGCATTTTATATGTTTGCTTGACTGCCTAGCGGGCAGGGAACGCATTTTATATGTTTGCTTGACTGCCTAGCGGGCAGGGAACGCATTTTATATGTTTGCTTGACTGCCTAGCGGGCAGGGAACGCATTTTATATGTTTGCTTGACTGCCTAGCGGGCAGGGAACGCATTTTATATGTTTGCTTGACTGCCTAGCGGGCAGGGAACGCATTTTATATGTTTGCTTGACTGCCTAGCGGGCAGGGAACGCATTTCAGCCGGTGGGGCTGGGTTTTTATGTTTGCTTGACTGCCTAGCGGGCAGGGAACGCATTTCAGCCGGTGGGGCTGGGTTTTTATGTTAGCTTGACTGCCTAGCGGGCAGGGAACGCATTTCAGCCGGTGGGGCTGGGTTTTTATGTTAGCTTGACTGCCTAGCGGGCAGGGAACGCATTGCAGCCGGTGGGGCTGGGATTTTTGTTTGATTATTGCAGTATTTCCTTTGGTACCAGTGTTTTGCCGGGACCAGCCTGGTGGGTGAAGGCTGGGGATTGTTATACCCTGAATATCTGACACCGGTGGTGTTAACATGTACATGGCTATTTTGCTCTCTATCATTCTGTGGTTTCTGTTTAATTGTTGTTACAGTGTGGGTACCCTTGGTGTGTGTGTGTGTGTCGTGTGGTTAGTTCTGGATTCCGGAGTTTACGCTCATTTGTATGTTTGTGATTTTTGCAAATGTCTTCTCATTAGCGCAGCCACGTTCACCTTCTCCTTTGTTCTTTATCTCTCCTGTGCCTGTTGCCCAGAGCTGTGTTAGTCACCCACGCTCATTCGCTCCCGTCCGTGACCACCACCCCGGGTGGGCGGATCTCCGTGACTGGTCTACGTTTGGGGAAGACGCACGGGGCTCAAGTTCTCGTGGCAGTCGAGCACTGTAGACATTCTTTTTCCCTTGTACTTACTATACTTCTTTGTCTTCCATGTGTGGCACGCTTTGATTACTCAAAAATGGGACAGGAACACGCTAGACCTGCTAAGGGCTTGCTAGCTTGTGACATTGTGAAAGAAAGGGCAGGGGAAGATGCAATGTTGAAACTTAAAAAGATTGCTAAGGTGTGTGGTTTCCAGATGTTGCCCAGTGGGAGATTACAACCTGAGTTTTGGAGGAAGCTACTCATAGACAAGGAAGGGTTGTTGTTGGATAATGGACTTACGAAAGTTGCAGAGGCTTGGTACCGGGTGGCTAGAGGTTTGAAACGGGAAGGATGGGTCGAGGAAGAACTAGAGTTTCAGGGGCATATTGTGTATGTTTATCACAGGAGTGTTCATAATGATGATGTTTCTATTGTTCCACGACCACCGCCCTATGATGGCGCCCGGAGCGCAACACTTAATTCCCGCCCTGCTTCTCCCGTCACGACACAGACCCCACCCTCTGGGGGTGTGTCTTCAGCTCCCACTCCCCTGTGCCCCGTACTCGGTGCGGATGGTGCTTACTATTATCCAGTGCCACTTCACTCGTTCCCTCCTACTCCCATGCCTCAACCTTCCTATGACCCAACCCCCTCCGTTAACCATCCTTCTGCCATGCCTGCCGAAGCCCCTCCGCCTTCATGTCCTTCGTTACCTCTCCCAGTGACCGTCCCCACTCCGGACCTTACCATGGCTTCCCTCACCTCACCCATTGAAGTCCCACCTTCCTCCTCCGCTTCCCTCTCAACCCCGAGTACCCCTTCCTTAGTAGCTTCCGTTCCCTCATCCTCTCCGTCTATCACACATCCAACTCCCCTACCCCATACCCTTTCTACCGGCCCTATTCCTCCGGATCTCTGTCTCCCCGCTGACCCAGGACCCCTCCTTCCCACGGCCGATTTGCCGTCCCTAATCTCTGCCCTCACCGCCCTGACCCAGCCCCTGTTACCACCTCTCCTCCAGTGTTACCTCCTCCTCCCGAAGTCCCAGCCCCCTCTACCTCGTTATCCCTCCTTCCCACGGCCGATTTGCCGTCCCTAATCTCTGCCCTCACCGCCCTGACCCAGCCCCCTGTTACCACCTCTCCTCCAGTGTTACCTCCTCCTCCCGAAGTCCCAGCCCCCTCTACCTCGTTATCCCTCCCTCCCACGGCCGATTTGCCGTCCCTAATCTCTGCCCTCACCGCCCTGACCCAGCCCCCTGTTACCACCTCTCCTCCAGTGTTACCTCCTCCTCCCGAAGTCCCAGCCCCCTCTACCTCGTTGTCCCTCCCTCCCACGGCCGATTTGCCGTCCCAACTCTCCGCCCAAGTTGCTCTGCCACAGCCCCTTGTTCCTATCCCTCCAACCCCTTCCCCGGCAACCCTTGACGCACCTATGTCCAATGACCTGTCTACTTCAATATCCGCCCTTTTCACTGCAGTCACTTCCCTGGTTAACTCCGCGATCCCAGCATTGCCTCCCATCGATATACCTCCTCCTCCTCCTCCTCCCCCCGAGCCTTCAACCCCTCCCTTGTCTCCCGTTAATCTCCTCGAGCCTTCCGATCCAATCTCTGCTCTTGCACATGTCCTAAACACCCACCTCTCACGGCCAGCCCCGCCGTCCCCCATGATGGCCCCTTCCACGGCTTTAGTTCCCCGTGCCCCTTCCGCCAGCACCAGTTACCCAATCATGGTGGTTGGGTCCGAGGTGTCTGCGACTTCGGACCAGCCCTATGCGATGGGTGCCTCCCCCCAAGCCTCGGGTTTCCACCCAATTACCTCTCCTATCACCCCCTTCCCAGTTGCCCCCGCTACAGCTACCCCTGAGGCTACTCTTCACCGTGGTCCAATAGTGCCCGAGGAGGTCGTTGTGGTGGACCAGAGCCCACCCCATCTGGGGGGGGAAAGGCTTCCCCAACGGCACTCGATTCCCCAGGGGTATACTCAGATCAGTCATGGTGCGGATGGTGCACCACCTATGTACGTTACTTTTAACCCTTCCCAAGCCGCTACCCTTGTAACCTCACTCCCTGATCCTGAGAAACACCCCATGCCCTTTTTCCGCAGGATGGCTCAGATCCGCAAGACATATTCCGCTGCATGGCGGGATCTTATTAGTTTATGTGAAATTAAGGCTGGAGATGCATACTGGCCAATCATGGAACGGAGCTTTAGTGATGCTCCACTTACTTCTGATACTGATTACCGTTCTGGTGAAACTTTCTGTGAACAACTTCGCGCCTGGGCGCAGGATAAACTAGCTGACCAGGCTACTTGCATTAATGACATAATACAGGACAAACTTGAGACCGTTGAGAAGTACCACTCTAGGTTGACTCAGACATTCTCGGACTTAGGGTTCAGCACTTACAACAAGGCACACACCCAGCTGCTCTCTGCAGCTTTTGTGGCAGGATTGAGAGAACATATTCGTAAGGGGTTGATTTTAGCTCGCCCTGAGTATAGAATTATTCCACTAGACACCCTTTTGTTGGTAGCCAAGGGCTTAGAATCTGTTTTACAACCCACACAGCGCAGGGCTAGCCCACTGATGTACACCACCTCCACACCTATCGCTAGTTCTAATCAAGTTCCTCAGGTGTACCCCCAACAGTACACCCAATCACCCCAGACACTGCCTGCACCAATCCCTTTCCCCCGGGACCGGACCATTATGACAATCCGGACCTGTTTTAATTGTAATCAGCCAGGCCACTTTAGAAGAGATTGCCCACAGCCTAGAGTGTTCCGCCAGCCAACTCCCCGGTACCAAGGTCCCCATGTCACTGGCTACAACTACCCTTCCCCTGGTTACCTTCCCGCCCTTCCCCATCCACAGTTGCCTCAGCTTCCCCCTCCTCCCCCTCCTCCTCCTCCTCCTCCTCCTCCTGAATACTCTCAAGCTCGGCTCCCTGTATCAGAAGCTCGTGCATATCCTTCACCCTCTGCAGAAGGGTTTGATAATGATGATTTCCAAGACGGCCAGCCCCGTCATACCCTCCGCCCATCTCGTCCCCCCATGCATTCTGCTAACCCCCCTTCTACTTCCCGCCGGTACCAGGGACCAGACCAGGCCCATTTAGATTTATTACAATAGGTAACCGGCAAGCCTGTGTCAGCAACCCCTGCCATGGCAGTGTCTGCGGGGGATGGGGGAGGCCCTCTAGCTACTGTAGTTCTCCCTGTGGAGGGCCACCCCACCACTTTCTTAGTTGACACAGGTGCAGCCCGTAGTGTCCTTAGGGAACAAGACCTGCCTGACCCTTCTTTCTTGTCTGACACTGATGTTTCCTGTGTTGGGGTGGATGGTACCCCACGCAGCAACCCCCTTACTAAGCTTCTACACGTAGGTTCCCACATCCTCTCACGCTTTGTTGTTTCCTCTACCTGCCCCATTAACCTCCTAGGTGCCGATGTTCTCTCTCGGCTCCAGGCCTCCATTACCTTCACTGCAGATGGGCAGATTGAATTGACAACTCCCTTATCACAAAAGGATACCTCTGTCCTCTGTTCACTCCCTATTTTGTTAAACCTAACTGACAATACAGGGGATGCACGGGTCCCACAAACCCCCAGTGCTCTGGATCGTATCCCTCAAGAACTTTGGTCCACTGGCCCGGATGATATTGGTCGTTTACATGTGCCCCCGGTCTTAGTTCAGCTCCTGCCTGGGGCACTGCCTCCTCGCAGGCCACAGTATCCTCTGAAGCCTGCACAAGCTGAAGCCATTACCAGACAAGTTGAAAGTCTCCTTGCCAAAGGTGCCCTCATCAAGTGTTCATCTCCATGTAATACTCCGCTGTTTCCTGTTAAAAAGAGAACTGTTAAAGGTCAACCTGACCAGTACCGCATGGTGCAAGATCTCCGTGCTGTGAATGATGTGACCATCAAAGACACTGCAATTGTTCCTAACCCCCACACCCTCTTATCCCAAGTCCCATCAACTTCAACAATATTCACCGTGGTGGATCTAGCTAATGCCTTCTTCAGTGTCCCCCTTGACCCTTCCTGTCGGTTTCTCTTTGCCTTCACCCATGAAGGACAGCAATACACCTGGACTGTCATGCCTCAGGGGGCTCAGAATTCCCCCACACAGTTTGCTCACGCCATGTCACTGGTACTGGATCCTTGGCAGAAATCTCATTTGGATGTCGTCCTGCTTCAATATGTTGATGATCTCCTTCTCTGTGCTCCTGATTTGCCCATTGCAGAGCGTGATTCAGAAGATCTCCTATGTTTCCTTGCTGCAGCTGGATGCAAAGCCTCAAAATCCAAGTTACAATGGTGCCGGCCCTCTGTGGTCTTCTTGGGACACTGCCTTTCCCATGGCACCAAACATCTAACCTCCCAACGTGTACAAGCCATTCTGCATCTTCCACTACCTGCTAATCACCAGGCTCTCCATGCTTTTCTGGGCCTTATCACGTATTGCAGGCCCTGGATACCTGAAGCATCAAAGCTCATGCAGCCACTCTATGATGCCCTCAGGAGTGAGCCCTTTCATCTTACAGAAGAAACTATCACCTGTTTCCATACTCTGAAAAGAGCTATTGCTTCTGCACCTGCCTTGGGCCTGCCCAACTACCGACTTCCCTTCCACCTGTTTGTCTCAGAAAAATCAGGACATGCTTCCGGAGTCCTCACCCAGAAACATGGATCTAGACAACGCCCTATTGGCTATTTTTCCTGCATGCTTGACCCTGTTGCAAGGGGAAGCCCCTCTTGCCTCCGAGCGGTGTTTGCCGCCAGCGCTCTCCTGGACAAGACCAATGGCTTTGTTCTTGGCCATCACCTCACAGTGCTGGCCCCTCACGACATTACTGCAATCCTACAGCAAGTTCGACCTAAACACCTTTCTTCCCAACGTCACCTTCGCCTACAGACATCCTTACTCCTACCTGATAATGTGAAACTCCAGAGATGCCTTTCCCTGAACCCAGCCACTCTTCTGCCACTTCCCAAGGGGGGAATTGTGCATCACTGGTACAGCCTGGATATCAACCCAGATGTTCGAGCAGATTTACAGTTGCCCGTGTTCACACCTCCCCCTGATGAACAATCAGAGGCCCCACTCCACTGTGTCTTGTGGTTTAGGGACGAACCAAGTCCTGATGTGAACTATGAGGAAGAACTATTTCAGCTCAAAGAAATTCAAATTACCCTGACTGACTTATTTTGGGACTCTACAGGTACCATGCTCATTTTGGTTCACCTTCCAGATAATGTAGCACACTTCTACCACCATTGGGAAACAGCTATCCCACACATATCTCTCACCGAATCCCACAACACCTTATGGGAGAACCTAGGCCCGATGGCCAAAACTTGGAACCAAATGACTCAAGAACAACTGACTTCTACGGGAATAAATAAAAAGACCATTAACTACTGCACAACAGGATACTCCAGGTACCACACAGAGGCCTGTGAGGACCCACCCACCATAGACTGCAACCTCATCGATATTCCCCATGACTGTTTTGAACAAATGAAAATGGAAACTACACACCTACCAACTGTTTATGAAGCTGCATTACTCAACCCGGATCAAACACTATTTGTGGATGGCTCAAGGTTTGCTGATGAACAAGGACAATACCACACTGGATATGCAGTCACCACAGGATGTCAAATATTACAAGCAGCTGCCCTACAACCAACTAAGTCTGCCCAAGAGGCCGAGTTAACAGCCTTGACTGTGGCCTGCAAACTGTCCGAAGGCCTACGTGTCAACATTTATACGGATTCAAGATATGCCCTGGGAGTGGCACACGATTTTGGCTTAATCTGGAAGACCAGAGGATTTCTTACAGCCACCGGTACCCCAGTAAAACATGGGGCAGCCATTGCAGAACTGATGGACGCATTGGAACTCCCAGCAGAAGTGGCAGTATTGAAAGTAAAAGCTCATGGAAGATTAGACACAGAAGAAGCACGTGGCAACAACCTAGCTGATCAGGCAGCCAAAGAGGCAGCACGACAAGGATGGGAAGTGGACAGAAGAGTGGCCACAGATACATTACCCATTTACACTATGCAAACATTGCCTACAGATCTCAGGCTGCTGAAGGAACAACAAGCTGCCGCCACTTCTCAGGAGAAACAAAGTTGGAAGAACAAAGGAGCAATACTCCGTGATGAAGTTTACACCATTAATCTCAAGTTCTGCCTACCTAGAAGTATGTACCCAGCGGTGGTCCAATGGGCCCATGGGCCAGCACACCTGTCAAAGCTCCTGATGAACTCACTGATTGACAAGTATTTTGAAGCACCAGGCATCACTACCTTAACACAGAATTATTGCAAATCTTGTACTATATGTGCTAAGTGCAATCCTGGAAAGGTCATAAAGACTGCACCTAATCATCTAGCCAAGCCACATTACCCCTTCCAGAGGATTCAGATTGACCACATTCAAATGCCAAAGAGCGGACGTCATGAATATGCACTGGTTATAGTGGACATGTTTTCAGGATGGCCAGAGGCCTTCCCAGTGACTAATCTCACCGCGAGGACTACAGCCAAGTACCTTTTGACAGAAATTGTTTGCCGCTACGGGGTTCCAGAAGTAATTGAAAGTGACCAAGGGACCTCCTTCACTGCCTCGCTAACACGGGAAGTCTGGTCAGCACTGGGGGTGACCCTTGCATTCCACACACCATATCACCCACAGAGTAGTGGTAAGGTAGAGCGCATGAATGGCACTTTGAAAGCCAGAATGCTCAAAATGTCACAAGAAACTAACATGCCCTGGCCCGAGAGTCTCCCACTAGCGTTATTCAGTGTAAGGTACACTCCCAGAGGAAAATACAGTTTGTCACCTTATGAGATTTTGTTTGGTACAGCACCCAGGTTAGGTTGCTACTTTCCCCAACAGCTTCAGATTCAGTCAGACGCTATGGTAGACTATGTGACTGCCCTTTCACATGCCTTGACCAAGATACATGCCCAAGTGTTTTCTTCTATTCCAGATCCTGAGTCGAATACAGGTACACACAAGCTGCTTCCGGGTGACTGGGTTATGGTTAAGAAGTTCCTCAGGAAACACACCCTAGAACCGAGATTTGATGGTCCTTATCAAGTGCTCCTGATTACAGCAACATCAGTTAAACTAGCTGGAAAAAGTTCCTGGATACACGCTTCACATTGCAAAAAAGTGCCTGCTCCGGAAGAAGCTGATCTTGTTGAAACATGAATTTATTATGTGTCTTGTGTTTTCTTATATTGTTGCATTTTGCCTGGGCCCAACAAGTGGCCATAACCAAAGATAATCATGTTTACACTTTCTGGTACAATTCTTCTGATACTGATGTAGCTACATACACCTTTGATTACTGTGACATAGTTACCTGCACATTCCCACAGACACAACATGCAGCCATATACAAAGACATACCTAACAAAAAGGACCCATACATTTGTGTGACTGGAGGAGCTTGGGGACACCACTGTAGTTCATGGAAAGCTGCCGGGTGGAATACAGGTAGACCATGGGGCTACAGACCTCAGGTTGCACTAGACAGACTTGACAAAGACGGGAAGCCCCTACTTTCTAGAATGACTCTGAGTAAACCCACAGGGTCAACTCCCATTAAACTTACCCTGAATATAGAACACCCTAGTCCAAGGGACGCGGGGGAATATGTGATGGGGATGTACTGGAAGGGAGGTGGCTCACACAATGCACTGGGGACATTCTACCTACAAGACATGCTCACCTCCCCAGACTGGGTAGGGACCACTCACATGATCGTCAACCCATTAAAACCACATATTAAGACACTACATGACATGGTAGCTATAGCCAACCCCACCTTTGAAGACACTATGGCAGTGGAAACTGGTTTTTCAGACACTAATTTGTGGCTAGAATGGATGAGGTATAATGCCAACTCACACAATAAGACCAATTGTTACGTGTGTGGAGGAGCCAGGCCCCATCTGGGAACAGTTCCTCTGAATTTGCCCCCTGAAGTAGAATCATGTGTTCTGAGCCTTTACACACAGTCCGTCACCAACTCCTCGACATGTGAATAGTGGAAGAGAATTTACCCGATCACTCACGGACATGTAAAACCACCTGATGGAGTCACCATCTACCCAGGTAATTACACATGTTATACAATATCTAAAAACACCGGTTTGTATCTGGGCAAATTCCCATCAGGATATTGCTCAACTTACCATAATCCACCTGTATCACTGCTAATGAACCACACAAAGACAATCGGTGATATCTATTGGTTATGTGGGGATAAACAATTGAGGTCCCAATTAACTGGGCAATGGTGGGGGGAGTGTGCCCTAACTAAAGTCATAATGCCTATCCATATCATTCCAGATGGTGACCATAACACGTTAAACCTCACACATGTACATTCTAGAACCAAACGAGAGACTCCTATTCGAGGGAGTTTCGACCCCCATGTGTATATTGATGCCATAGGTGTGCCAAGGGGGGTGCCTAACGAATTCAAAGCAAGAGATGAAGTGGCAGCAGGATTTGAGTCCCTAATTCCAATGATAACTGCTAACAAAAATGTCAATTGGATTAACTACATTTACTATAATCAACAGCGTTTTGTCAACTACACTAGGGATGCCCTACAGGGCCTGGCAGAGCAATTACAAGCCACTACCCAAATGACATTTCAGAACAGAATGGCCCTAGATATGATTTTAGCTGAGAAAGGGGGTGTATGTAAAATCCTCCCTGAGACCATGACATGCTGCACATACATTCCAGACAACACTGGGCCCAATGGTAAGGTGACTATGGCCATAGAGAAGCTAGATAGTCTTGCAGACGAGCTAAAGAAAAATTCAGGAGTCATTGACACTTGGGACAGATGGTTTGGATGGATGAATGGTTGGCAAAGGACCCTCTTCCAGGTGGGGACAGCTGTTCTCATAATGATCGTCGTTTTCTTATTTCTGACCTGTTGCATATTCCCCTGCATACAGAAGTATCTACAGAAAGCGGTAGACAAGACTATAGATGACGTGACCCCTACTTTCATACACCAAGACATCACAGACCTCGAAGATGATACTCCACATACACCCCTTCAATCACATCAGTTCAAACAGACAACTGCTTTCCTGTAGGGATAGTGTAGGGAAAGCGTCTGTCTTAACTGGCAAGTCTCACGTGTGGAGATGTAGTGGACTAGCCACTGCGGGTTACCCGCGGAGTGAAGTGTTCGATGCTAGTTAAGGCAGATAGGTTGCAGGCAACTAGGGACATATTAGGGACAGTAGCAGTTGTTATGGTAAATAGCCATTTTAGGGGGGACTGTTGTGGAAATAAGGTCTACACATATTTCCTAGTTAGTGAAAAATGTCTATTTACTCATTTCACGATATATACATATATAGCTAAGCACACACACGTTATAATTAAGATGGCTGCTGGAAGCTTCTAGCTCCTTCCCCCTCCCCTCCCTTTCTCCTTCCTAACATCGACTAACTACCTCGTGCACCAAGATGGCGCCGGTAAACCGTGGGAGACCCTCATGGCCCCGGTGACATCACCTACAGTAGGCAGAGCATTGAAGCAACCACTTAACACCTAACCAATAATTGATGTATTATTCCATGTTATCTCTGACAATGCTTATGATGTAATTTTGCTTTAAAAGGGACTTGCCGTCCCCTCTGAATAAACTTTCCTCAAGTTATTCAACAACCTGGAACCTGTGTCTGGTGTGAATTACTTCAGGGAGCGTGCACGCATAGTTTCATTGATTTGGCCAGGGGCAGATACACAAAGAAATAATCAATACTTTAATTGATTTTTCCACTTCAGAATATTTATGAATCTGTAAAATAATTGATACATAGCATAAAGGCAGGCCTAGGTGAAATGTAAAAACTTTTAGCATAGTGGATAGGCCTAATGTCTCTGTTAATATGCTAATGTTTTGTTCTACATGAACATATCACATAACATTCTACTCCCATGATGTCTTGCATGCCCTAAAGCGAAACATCATGGGGCTTGTAGTTGGGGTCTGCCTTTTGGCTACCTATCATCCAGACAATGCACTCATGCAACATAACTGCCACTGACATAAAAAGTAACTACATAAATCCAGCAGATGTTCCATTGTTAAGGATACAATTTAAAGTTGATTTTCCATATAGATACATAGGAACACAATGTTCTCTGTTTACATCTGTCACAACCTACACCAGCTGTTTGGTGCAATATAAAGTATGAACACACTGTGGTTTGAATTAGAGATATTATAATAAGCCTTCCCAGCATGGCCACAATGTAAAAGAACACTATAACCATTACCATAACCACTGCGGTGTGCTCCACTACTTCACATGGAGAGCTGGAAGCTCTTAGCTCTTATTAGCGGAGCTAGTACTGCAGAGCTCTAATGGGCTAGACAGAGAGCCAGAAGCTTTTTGTTGTAAGTGACAACCAGCAGAACCCAGGTAAGTAGTCAAATTGGTATACAAGATTTACAAATTGGTATACAATATTTACAAATTGGTATACAAGATTTGCACTGGGGAGGGGAAGTTGGGGCACTCCTGGTACCACAAGCACTGAACTGTCCCGAGGCTCAGTCCATCCACCTTTATAACCCCCTTTCTTCCCACATTGCTGTCATCTACCATATCCCTGACGCCTTACTACAATTCCCTGACTATTTCCAACTTAGCCGACCTAACAACTCAGTTGTCTCAAGGTGTCTTTCAATAACTATCTCCTTTGGCCTACACACATTGCCAGCAATACCCCTGACATGTTGTCTAAGGAAGTACTGTTTGCAATCATGTCACGTACTGCATGTGCTTGGGCTCATTGCATTATAGGATATTAACCCACACACCTGTGAATAAAGAAACTTCAGGTAAGAATGTGATTTTACCTACAGAGACGCAAGCTATCTGTACAGCACATCAGATACTTATCTGAATCATAACTTGTAACCATGTCATTTGAGGATGCCAGATTCAGTTTAAATCAACTAGTCCCTTTCTAAATAACACTTTGTTTAGTTTGTGATGTCATTTTCCTTTTAATTACTATTCCAGTTAAAGAGACTATTTACTAAAGGATGCTAATTATATCCACAGCTGGCATTGTTAAAGCTTGTATATCAGTAATGAACATCCGATCTAACTTATCTCTAGTCTGTTCCCAACACGGTTACAATGTTGAGTTTTTCAATGTATATCTCCAGATAAGCACTGCGTTACTGTGAATGTTAATAACAGCTACGCCTAACTAATGTGTAATTTATTAATTTAATTAAATAAGCCTTTTAAGGGGTTGAGGAATTAAGGTTTCTAGTGCAGGAGTAGGCAACCATCGGCCCTCCAGATGTTGTGGACTTCATCTGTCATAATGCTCTTACAGTCATAATGCTGGCAAAGCATGAGGGGGATGTAGTCCAACAACATCTGGAGTGCCGAAAGTTGCCTTACCATGATCTGGTGGATCATACGGACGGTAAATGTTTTAAAGTAGCTGTGACGACACAGCCTCTTTGGTTGGACATCTGTTTTAAACAGCCCTCTCTTTCACCAGATGTGCTCCAGCTCTTATCTCTTCCCCCTTCATTTTTAAAAAATGATTCTTACTTGACTTTTCTATCATGTTGCCCGTTGATGAAATTTATTCACTAAACGTAAAGTCATAGCAAATTAAAATTTGATTGGCAGAACTGAGGCTAAAATCATCACGTCGTGACTAAAATTGAGAATTTTTCCAGATCAGCTTTTTTTTTAAACTCAGTTTTAGCATCCAGATTTTATGCTGTTACATTTAAGAGTTTAGTAAATAGCCCATTATGTCCTTGATGCTAGTTGATTTCTTTTTCTGTCTTTGGTTAATTATTTGTATTTTGTATTCGTGTTAGTATAATTTAATAACTGGCTGATCTGGTTCTCAAAAGGTTACAGAGAAGACAAAACTATGGTAAGTTATAAACTTAATTCAAAGTGAATTTCCATTTTTAGCAAAACCTAAAATTTGAAATTCACTTTTCATCCATGAAAATTCAAACTTTACTGATTTGCTCTGTCCGCATTGGTATTTGCTAAACAGTGAATTAGGGATGAGCTTAAAACAAAATGTGAAACATTTGGTCCATTATAGTTATACAAATTTTCCAATTCATCTGTATTCCCAATACTACTGTTTGATCTAAATCCTTGCAAATTAAGTGTTCACCTTACCAAAGATCACTCTTTAAAGTAGAAATGTCTCTTTCTGTGACATTTCTTTGTTCCTTCACTCCAGTAAAGGCTATGACAGACATTCACTGTAGTCAACAGAGCAGTGGAGGTAAGTAAAAAGCTTACTTACCTCTGCTGCATGTCCCTGTTTTTGGGGCATCATTGCCCCATGATGCCTCGAACCCAGGGTGCTACGGTATCTACCAGAGAAATGACTTATGCGTGCATGTAAGTGTTAACTAATTTACATAATTTCCTGGCCTTGGTCGGCAAAGTATGTAACTTAAAATATGAAGAAAGAAAAATAATTTCACAACAACTTTTGTTGAGCTACAAGTGAAGACGTGACATTTTTTTTTACAATTCTACTAAACTCAAAATATTACTTTACCAGTTCCACACATAGCGAGCAGAGGGTCAGTGGTTCGGCTTTGATATAAACGGTCCTCAGCGGTTTCTCTCTTTTGCATTTGGCACATGGTCCAAACAGGATGGCAAGGAATGTCTGATCACACATCCTGGGTGATTAAATTTAGCTGTCAAAAAAAAATAGAGAATAAGGCTCCACCACAACCATACTCCCACAGCAGCCAATGGTTTGAAAACAATATTCTGTAATGCTGAAGAGATGGGATTATCTACTTGTACATAATAATCCCAACTGCTTTGTTTGCAGAGGCTAAATAAAGATCAGTTTGTTTGGCGCTTTATAGTACCAACAAACAAAATATTCCAACTACAGGTAGAACTAAGGGAGTAGAGTCCGGCAAAAGTGTCAATGATCAAGTTGACAAATATTATTCCATTTTATAATCCTATCTATTTTTGTTTAAATCGTAATGTTCTGTTTTACAGTGTTGTGATGCAATAGGCAATGGCATGTCTATTGCACTTGTATTCTTAGAAGCAAGGCTTGGCATGTGCTATAGGGGACTATTAGTATGAGCTCTCAAAAATGCTTCTTCTGACATATCAATAGGCACTCAATGTTAGAAGGGCCAGACTGGGGTAAGAAAATGGTTTAGGCCAATGCCCCTTCCCTGGCCACTGTTTCTTCCTCCAACAATGCCGCTCCAGTGTGAGTGAGCTATAGTACATCTTGCTGCGTGTGCTGGTTTGTATACATCTATGGTTTATTAGCCTGGCTGGGGAGATACCTGGGATGCTCCAAGCTGGCTCTGTAGAAAGGGCCATATATTGTCATGGTTGGGCCACGTCAAAGAATAGATATTCCAAAATCCCTTTGGGTCTACTTATGGGACTGAAACTTGGAATAAAAGATCACTCGGTACTGGGCTATTCTCTAAAGTGTGACTCGTCTGGGATTAAAAATTCATTTCAAATTATGGGCTAAACTAGCAAATTGAATGTTTCCAGTTCAGCTGTTTAAGCCTAAATTTAGAAATGAACTTTGAATTCATTACAGTTCACACTTTAGTAAGTAACTTTCAGAGTGAATTCAGGCCAGAGGAACTGTAATCAACACATGAGGAATGTTTCCAGTTTATCTATTGTATCCTAAAATGTGAAAATTGATTTTGAATTCACTTTAACCCCTTAAGGACACATGGCATGTGTGACATGTCATGATTCCCCTTTATTCCAGAAGTTTGGTCCTGAAGGGGTTAAATACCTGATAATTCACACTTTACAGATCTGTGTGGCCAGGAGTGGACTCTTTTAGGTGACCACTAAAATAGGTGTTGGAATGGGGCAAACCTTCAAACACATGCCCCCTTAATAGCATACGTTTAATCATGCAGTTTTCTATTGGCAAAATAACTATAATTGTGGAAGCTATTAGTATAATGGGATATGGACTTAAATAAGCTACCACACCACACTTTTTCATATATAAATATATAATTTCTCACAAAAAAAATCACTTAAGTTTTTTCTACTTACATTTTTCTCTTTTTTTTATTTTATTGAACTTAATTGTTTTTAAAGCTAAATGGTAACGACGATAACCAACACTAAACCAACTTTAACATGTTTTGTTTTTCTTTCTTAAATAGCAAAACGTATGGATTTAAAATCTGCTCCATCTTACCCTTTTCATTACCCCACTAGATTTTTTTTTTTGGGGGTGGAGTCCATTCACCCCCCCCAGCTTCCATGGTGAACTTGCAGACTCAACGTGAAATCAAATTTGATGTTGTGAGGTATAGACGTGCCCTGGAATTTAGCCTTGAATAAGTGACGATTCCACAAATTGGTTATAAATATATATATTTTACATGTCAATGAAGCTTGGTTTCACCAAAAAAAAATCATAACAAATTAACCACACCAGTATATTTAGAATATTGCCATGGGAAACACATCATCCATTAATGTTAATATAAAGATATTTATTTATACTTACAAAGCAGGCGTGGAGGAAAGGCTTGGAAGCAACTCACAAGTACAGTATTCTTTCTGTAAATGGAAGCTGAATGACGACCTTCATACTGCTAATCTACTTAGAGGAATTAAGCTTCAAGTGTCTTTACCAGACCCCTCCTTTATTACAATGTCAAGTAATGAATGTCCATTTCCTGCGGCCCATCCTTAATGCACTAATGCACTCTAATTAAGAAGTATCAACGCATTTTAGAAGGCTGTAGAAGATATAGGCAAATATTTATCAAGACAAAAACAGGTGCTATTCTCGGGCAAAGTGCTAAATAAGGAGCAATCGCCACGGAAACCAATAGAATGGCTCTCAACATTTAGTGCTTTGCACCTTTATGGCCTTGGTAAATCTCCCACATTATATTTATGAAATATTAGACATGGTTGTAGATTTATCAAGGAAAAACAAATGCAATTTTGTGAGCAAGCACTAAATGTTTAAAGATGTTCTCTTGCTTTCCATGGTGATAGATCCATATTTAATGCTTTGATCTTGTTGTTGAGTTAAATAATCAATGTTATCATACAGATCGTTTTAATGTTTTTGAGACTGGTTGGTGGGATTGACTGTCACTTTAACACAGATTTGGAGACACTAGTAGAGTGCAGGCCTTCTGTCATGCAGACCATCTATACATATAGTAATAAATCAAACTCACTGTCTAATGGTCTTCACTAGTTATGTGAGATCTCCTCTGTAACAGAGCTCCAGTACTCCAGCCGAGTACCTCTGCCAAGTCTGCTTCCTTGTAGCTATCAGGGACCCTGAAACACTTCAGACCCAGACGCCGAGGCTTGACTGGGATCACTTAGGGAAGTGATGGCGAACCTATGGCACGCCGGGCCCTTTCTGTGGGCACGCGGCCATTGGTTCACCATCAATGCAGAGTAGGCACCTGCCTGCCCAAAACGGCAGGCGCCTACTCTGCTTCCGTGTCGGGCGGCAGGGGGAGGGATCTGTGAAGCAGTGCTCCACACAGCATCGAGCGGGAGGACAGGGGAGCTGCTTCACAGATTCCTGCCTCCCGACACGGAAGCAGTGCTTGCCACCACCGGACCACCAGGGATGGCTGTGTCCCCCCCTCCTTCATTAAAGGTAAGAAGGAGGGAGGGGGGATACTGATTTAGCATACTTTTTTTTTTAAAAACACCTTTACCCCAGCCCCACACACACAGCACCCCTACCCCCACACACAGTACACCTACCCCCCACACACAGTACCCCTACCCCCCCACACAGCACCCCTCCTCTCCCCAGCATCCCTCCTCACCCCTACCCCCCACACACAGCACCTGACCCCCACAGCACCCCTACCCCCCACACAGCACCCCTCCTCACACACACACACAGCACCCCTCACACACACACAGCACCCTCACACACACACAGCACACACACACACACACCACACACACACAGCACCCCCACACACGCACACACAGCACACCCCTCACACTCACACGCACACACAGCACTCCTCAGACATACACACACACAGCACCCCTCACACACACACACAGCACCCCACACACACACACACAGCAACCCTCACACACACATGCACACACACACAGAACCCCTGAAACACACAGCACCCCACACACACACACACACACAAACAACACCTCACATACACATACACAGCACCCAACACACAAACACATACACTACACCCCTCAATGCAATATGTGTGTGTATTCAGCAGTCTGTGTGTGTGCGTGTATTCCGCGGTCTGTGTGTGTGCGTGTATTCAGCGGACTGTGTGTGTGCGTGTTCAGCGGACTGTGTGTGCGTGTTCAGCAGTCTGTGTGTGTGTACTCGGTGGGCTGTGTGTGTGTGTTCAGCAGACTGTGTGTGTGTGTTCAGCGGACTGTGTGTGTGTACTCAGCGGACTGTGTGTGTGTGTACTCAGCAATCTGTGTGTGTGTACTCAGCAGTCTGTCTGTATGTGTATTCAGCAGACTGTGTGTGTGTGTTGATTCATCAGTCTCTGTATTCAGCAGTCTGTGTGTGTGTGTTCAGCAGTCTGTCTGTATGTGTATTCAGCAGACTGTGTGTCTGTATTCATCAGTCTCTGTATTCAGCAGTCATGTGTGTGTGTATTCAGCAGTCTGTGTGTGTATGTATTGCATTTGTTGGAGATACTAATAAATATAAGCTTAATTTTATCTATTTATATTATTATTTAAAATTTGTATCATTGAACTCTCTGTTGTTGTGTTCCTTTAAAACAAAAGTTGTTAATTAGTTCGGACAACAGTACGAGTTGTTTTTTCTAAACTTAAACCTCAGTATTGAGGTTTAATTGCCGTGTTGGCACTTTAAGGAAAACAAAGTTGGCATGTATTACGGTTTGGGCACTCGGGCTCAAAAAGGTTTGCCATCACTGACTTAGGGCCTTTTCCACCCTGGACCAAACACCAGACGACACATGGTGAAGGTTAAACAGCAACTCTTTAATGAAAAAGCACACATAGTTTAAGCCCCCAACAGCCTCATTTACATACAATAGGTTACATAGATTACTATAGTACAAGGAAGGGTGGGGTCAGACAATAGCAAAGGCTGATGGGAGATTGAGGAGGGACAGAGCAGCTAGAGTAAACTGGTCTGGCAGTGTCCCTGGGACAACGCCCTGCTGGGGAAACAATAGACAGGAAAAAGGCGGGAGGGGAGATGCACAGACCAGCAATACATTCAACATACCCTGCACAAATAATAGGCACAATGTGACAAAACACAAAAGAAATTTGGGAGCCCACCCATAGTGTCTGTCTTCCATCCCCAGTGATGGTGACTACTGTCACATCCTCCATGTTTGATAAATCACAGAAGCAAATAGTTTTTGGGTTGGCACTATATTTGAGGCACGATAAATAGTGATGTCCTGAACGGTTCGCGAACGGTTCGCCACGGCCGGCGAACATAAACATAAACTTTGACCCTGTACCTCACAGTCAGCAGACACATTCCAGCCAATCAGCAGCAGACCCTCCCTCCCAGATCCTCCCACCTCCTGGACAGCTCACTAAGAATGCAGCTTCACAATTAATGTAAAATGCATGCTGTCCAGGAGGTGGGAGGATCTGGGAGGGAGGGTCTGCTGCTGATTGGCTGGAATGTGTCTGCTGACTGTGAGGTACAGGGTCAAAGTTTATGTTTATGTTCGCCGGCCGTGGCGAACTGTTCGGCCAACCGTTCGGCGAACCGTTCGGGACATCACTAACGATAAACTCAGTAATGTGCAGCTTGTGATGGCATTGAGATGTGCAATATAGCTGGCCTTAAACAAAAGCAAGGATGCGGTGCAAGGTTTAAAAGATGTAATCTGGTTTGATCTAGGCCCAAATTAATGCCTGCCTAAATTTGTATGTCACAAAGACATGGATATGACATATTTTTTCACTGTGAAAGTTAAATCTTATAACATGTTTTTTTCAAGGGAAATTATTCACTTTCACACATATATTTACATTATTTATAACTACACCCTGTTCCAAATTATTATGCAAATTCTATTTAAAGGGACACTATAGTCACCAGTGCAACTACATGTATTCCTGACCCTATAGTGTTAACACGACCATTTAGCCCCCCTGGGCCCCTCATCCCTCCATCAACTCAGAAGTCCCTCTGGTTCACTCTGAGTGACTGCAACTGGAGGTGTTCCTAGCTTTCAATGTAAACACTGTATTTTCTCAGAAAATACAGTGTTTACATGAGAAAGTCTGCAGGGAGCTATAGTTCTCACCTGAACAACCTCATTAAGCTGACGTTGTTCAGGTGACTATAGTGTCCCTTTAAGTGTCACAAAGATGAAATATTTTGTTTTTCAGTTTAACTCATGAATGCATTGTGTCTCAGGGCTCTTTTGATCACTGAAAACAATCTCAGACACCTGTGATAATTAGATTGACAGGTGAGCTCAATTTAAAGAAAAACTACTAAAGGAGGGTGTTCCACATTATTAAGCAGAGCACCATTTTCATGCAATGTGGAGAAGAAAAATGATCTCTCTGCTGCCGAAAAGAGTGAAATAGTTCAATGCCTTGGACGATGTATGAAAACATTGGATATTTCCCGAAAACTTAAGCGTGATCATCGCACTATTAAAGGACCACTATAGGCACCCAGACCACTTCAGCTTAATGAAGTGGTCTGGGTGACTGGTCCAGCTAGGGTTAACCCTTTTTTTTATAAACATAGCAGTTTCAGAGAAACTGCTATGTTTATAATAGGGTTAATCCAGCCTCTAGTGGCTGTCTCATTGACAGCCGCTAGAGACGCTTGCGTGCTTCTCACTGTGAAAATCATTGTGAATGCTTTCCTATGAACTGGCTGAATGCGCGCGCGGCTCCTGCCGCGCATGCGCATTCAGCCGATGACGTCGCTATGAAGGAGGAGAGGAGGAGGAGAGCTCCCGGCCCGGCGCTGGAGAAAGGTAAGATTTTAACCCCTTCCTCTCCCCAGAGCCTGGCGGGAGGGGGACCCTGAGGGTGGGGGCACCCTCAGGGCACTATTGTGCAAGGAAAACGAAAATGGGTACACGTTATTTATGAAGTTTATAAAAAAGATGGGTGGTGGGGTATATTTATATGTCAACCATGAGTTAAAGTCAAATTTTAGGCATGTGGAGTGTGAAGAGGAAAATGTGGAGGCTTTATGGGTAGATATCTGCTTGGGGCAAACAAAGGGAAATCAATTATTGGTTGGGATATGTTATAAACCACCTAATGTGAATATTAATGAGGAAGAACAGCTGTTAGAGCAAAATGAGAAAGCTGCAAATCGAGGTAACACGTTAATTATTGGAGATTTAATTACCCAGACATAAATTGGGATAGAGGGACTAGTACTTCAGCAAGGGGAATCAGGTTTTTGAATGTGTTAAATGGCACCTTTATGTCACAACTGGTACAAGCACCAACTAGAAAGGATGCTTGTCTGGATCTCGTCATAACAAACAATGTTGATCTTTTAACCAGCATTCAAGTAGGGGAGCATTTGGGAAATAGTGATCACAATATGGTAAATTTTGAAATAAACTCAAAAAAGCTAAAGCAAGTGGGGTATACTAAAACATATAATTTAAAAAAAGCCAATTTCAATAAGATTAGGGGAGCTCTACAACATATTGACTGGCATAAACTCCTTAGTGATAAAAACACTGAGGATAAATGGAAACTATTCAAACAAATATTAGAAAGGTACATTTCTAATATTTGTTTGAATAGTTTCCATTACCATTGGGTAATAATAGTTTCCATTACCTTTGGGTAATAAATATAAAAGAAACAAATGTGGCTTAGTAGAGAAGTAAAACAAGAGATTAAAAAATAAAAAAAGGGCATTTAAAGCATTTAAATCAGAAAAATCAAAGGCATCCTATTTAAGATATAAGGAAGCCAATAACGCTTGCAAAAAGGCAATTAAAGTGGCTAAACTAGAAAATGCGAAATTGATAGCCAAAGAATGCAAAACCAACCCCAAATTTTTTTTCAAGTACATCAATTCTAAAAAAACAAAAAATTAAAGTGTACGTACACTGGAAACAGAGTTGGGTTTATTAGCTAATGAAGACCAGGAAAAAGCAGAAATTTTAAATAACTATTTTTCTTCAGTATATATTAATGAGGATCCTATGGCAAGAGATATGCAAATGTTTGCTGCAAAAAACTTGCAAATAACTTGTGACTGAATAACTCGAGACAAGGTGCTACAGCTATTAAAGAAAATTAATGTAAATAAAGCTCCGGGGCCTGACTGTATTCACCCACGAGTACTTAAGGAGCTAAGTGGGGAAATAAGTGAACCTCTGTATTTAATTTTTCAAGATTCTTTTGTTTCAGGTGTTGTACCGGAGGATTGGAGGAAGGCAGATATTGTTCCTATATTTAAAAAGGGTTCAAAATCTTTGCCTGGAAATTATAGACCTGTGAGCTTAACTTCTGTAACTGGGAAAATATTTGAAGGGCTATTAAGGGATAATATTCAGGAATTCATTGGGAAGAACTTTGTTATTAGCAATAATCAGCATGGTTTTATGAAACATAGGTCATGTCAAACTAACCTAATTGCATTCTATGAAGAAGTAAGTAGAAGTATAGATCAGGGTGTTGCAGTGGATGTGATCTACTTGGATTTTGCCAAGGCATTTGATACGGTTCCTCCCAATAGGTTAGTCTCCAAACTAAAAGAAATTGGTCTAGATGAATATTCTTGTTC